AGGGTCTCCCTCCCTCTCTCTCTCTGGAGATGAGAAACTAACAAGCTTTGGACTATGGCTGGACTACAGTGCCCGCCATCCCCAAACGGGGCGTCAATGGGAACGGCTGTCCAGGGAAAGGGGGGAAGCCTCCAACCAGCCCACCTCCCTCTCCACCCTCTGCCCCATCTAGCCCATGCCTGGGCGGAGGTTCCTCCTCGCCGTTACCTGCAGCTTGGAGTGATGATAGATCCAGCGCAGCGCAGCGCAGGTCAGGCTGGGCGGATCTGGCCCATACGCTTCGCGGAGAGCCTCTCCGATCAAGGCCACCCCTTGGAAGTGATGCTGCTTCCAATACCTGAGATGTTGCAAAGGAGAAAGTCCCAGACTCGGCTGCATCAAGAGATGGGTTTCCTCTGCTGTCGAGACATGCCCGGCGGTTGCCTCCCGACAGCTCGCCCCTTCCGCCGCCCTCCCCCAGCACAGAAGACCCACCTGTCCTGGTAGATTTTCCCGAAAGATTTGTCAAAAAAACGGCTGCCCGGTTCATGGTCAGCCTCCTTATCCTCAAACTTGTACTTCCCCGTCAGAAGCCCTCCTGCAGAAGGGGAAGAGAACATGCCGCCGTTAGGGACTAGCAACTTGAAATTAACAATAAATTCATGAGCCTTTGGGAGCTGAGGGCCTCCCACTAGTGCACCATTTTGGAAAATACAACCACCTTCCACAACTCAGATGTCTCTTCCACACACACCCTGCCCCCCGGAGAGACACACAGATTTCCATGTTCAGAAAGAACGTGGCAGCCAGGCGATTGCTTCCAGGGGACACCCCAGGTAAGGAAAAAGTCAGATCAAACTTGCGTTGTGTTCCAAACACAGCGAGGCACAAAAGAGAGACAAAATGGTAACAGAAGAAAGCAAATCCCATCTCCCTCTGCCCACCTCCGCCTCCAGTCCATACCGTACCTGCCAGGGGGTTGAAGGCGTAGAACCGCATCCCATAATGCCTAAGGCATGGCAGGAGTTCAGTCTCCACTTGGCGGGTTATTCCATTGTACATGCCCTTTGTTTTTTGGGGGGGTTAAGAGAAGGGGGGAATTCAGACGAACCAGGTTATAACCAGCATTTCCATTTAAAAATCAAAGACTGACATGGACTTCATAATGTCCCGCTGTTCGAACGTTGGGGGGGGATAGGAAACAGACTACAGCCCCCATCAGCCCCCGTCAGAACCCCCAGCTGTGAAGGATCATGGGACCTGTAGTCCAAAAATAACAGGGATGGGCAGCGACCCCCTGCACCCATCAAGGGCCGGGGGGAGGCTCACCTGGTACACCGTGGGCAGCACCCAGTTTTTGGCTTTGCAGAGGGTGTAGATTTCGGCCACCTCCCAAGCTGGATAGTTAGAGAGGCCGAGCTCTTTAAACTTGCCCTGCGGAAAGAGGGCGAAAATAAAAGAAAGGGAAATTTTAAAAATCTCCGCCTGTCAGATCAGCCTCCTCGTTCCAGGGCGTCCCCTGAGCCCCTCCGCACCTCCTTGTGCAGCTGATCGCAGGCCCGCAGGGTCTCCTCCACGGGGGTCTCGTGGTCCGGGGCGTGGAGGTAGAAGAGGTCCACGCTGTCCAGCTGCAGCCGCCGCAGGGAGGTGTCCAGCTGGGCCCGGACGCTCTCGGCCTTCAGGGTCTTCCCTTCCAGCGGGTTGGCCTTCGTGGCCACTTTCACTGCCAGGGAAGAGAAGCCGGGGTTGGAAAGCGGGCGTTGGCACCCCCTTCTTAAGGCTGGAAAGCAGCAGCAGCAGCAGGAAAAGGGGAGGCCGGAGGAGAGGAGGAGAACCTGCTGTGACATGGATCAATCCACGAAGGAGACCATGACCCGGTTTTTACAAAGGGCTTGAGCAGGGCTGCGAACAGCAAGGGGGCTTCTGGAAGCCCCCCAGTTCCTCCAGTGTCTACTTCTCAAAAGATGATAATCAGCAGGTGACAGCCACCACTGCTGTCAGGAGGGGCCGGAGGTCAGGGGTTCGATTCCCCGCTCTGGGTGGGTTGACGGGCTGGAATCTGTAGTCCATAGCATCCCTTCCAACCCTGCCCTTCTAAGGTGGTTGTTGTTGTTGCTGTTGCTGTTGTTGTTGTTGTTGTTGTTGTTGTTAGGCCCTAGCATAAATCAATGTTATATTCTGTAAACGAAGGGAAAGAGATAAGAAAAGCAAGCCGCTCACCTGCGCTCAGCCCTTACAAAAGAGTGAAGGTTACATTATTAGATAAGACTATCAGGGTGATAACTTTGTGGTTACGTGACTTTGCAATTTTGGTATTAAAAAAAAAACAGGGGAAAGGCCTGCCGTGGTTCTTCCCACCTTCAACAAAGTAACGTGACTATTCTTTTAGGGAGGCTTCGCTGTTTCTGTTCACCCGAATAACAGCAAAGATAGGGGAAAGGCTGCCCACGGCTTTATAAATAAATTAAACTTTGGGAGGTTTTTAACATCGGGGCTCATGGTGGCCGGAGTGGCCCTCTGGATGTTCAGAACTGGGGAAAGTAGCTCTTTTTATGCAATAAGACTCCCAAATCCTCCAGGCAGCATTCGGGGTGAGGTGGGGTGGGGGGCTTAAGTCGGTAGTGCCACAAACGGTGGACTACGAAACCCAGAATCCCCCAACCAAGAGCAGCCACGGGCCCTTCACCACCAGGACTCCGGACAAAAGCTTTTGAATCCAGATCGTTGTTTAATCGTTACTATTAATGATAAGCCAGGAGCCCTCACTTCCTTGGGATTGTAACTAGTAGAATAAAGGTGAGGATTGATGGCGTATGAAATCGGCCTCCTTCGTTAATCAATAACGAGGTTTATCCGCCTGACATTTCGGAGACAAGAGAGAGTACAAGATGATTGTTTTTGCACGGGGAAAGTGACAGGAGGGTCCCCAGAGGTGCAGAAAGGTTCACGGACCCCCAGGGGGGTGGAGCACAGGACTGGGGATGGGGAGATCTGGGTTCGAATCCTCCCCAGTCCCCCCCCCCCAAACTCAACTCCCTGGGTGACCTTGTGGTCCTGGTTGTCGCTCAGCCCGGCGGACCTCGCAGGGAGGGGGGCCTCGTCCAGGGAATAAAGTGGGGAGGAAAAGCAGGAGGGATCAAATCCGCCACTCAGCGGGACGGGAAAGTTTGCAAAAGTTTACGCATTAATGAAAAGACCAGGAATAGGTCGCAAAAAAAAAAAAAAGCAAGTAATGCGCGGACGAAAGGGAGGGGGGAAATGCACTCGGCCCATGCCCCAGGGCCGGCTTGCAATGCCCTCTGCCCATGCTCGGCGGACCCCTCTCGCCGGCCACTCACCCGCTCCGGCGGCGGGCAGCAGCTCGCCCAGGAAGCGCTCCGACTCGCCCCAGCCGTAGATGTGCGCCGTGTCCACCTCGTCGTGCCCGCGATCCAAGAAAGCGCGCAGCATGGCCCCGCTGGCCTCCCGGTCGGCCCGCCACCCGAACCCCATGGCCCCCAGCACCGAGCGCACCCCCGGCTTCGGCCCCGCCATCCTCGCCGCCCCCGGGACTCGAACTGGCCTCCTCTGCCTCCACGAGCGCAGGTGAGAAGCGAAGGGGCGGTTCCGCTACCACCTCCGGCGCCGCCCATCCCGGCCGGCCAAGGGATCCTCCCCAAACTCCCAAATAGGGTCGGCGTGACCTGCAGGAGGAAGTGGAGGGGGGGGAAGAGCTCTCCAACGGGGAAGCCGGGAGTCGCCTTCGAGAGTCGAGGGGACCCCCGATTCCTCCCCGAATTTGGGACTTCTTTCTCTTGCCTCCCTCTCCCCCCCAAGTCTTAGGGTTATACACCCGTGGACCAACAAAGCGTTCTGTGGAGCTCGAAAGCTTGCTCCATGGCTCCCCTTTCGGCCCACGCGTTTAGGGCATCGCACACCGCACAACGAACTGTGCTCCCAGGAGAATCAAATAACAATAACAATAACAACAACAACAACAACAATAATAATAATAATAATAAAAAGAGAAACATAAGAGCAACTAGGGAACGAAGGGGAGTTGGATGATCTTTGGGCACAACGAAGCACTAAAATCACTATCAGGCCACTAAACATGGGAGAACCGGTGAGCTTCGATGCCTCTGTTTGCTGAAATCCAAGCCTGGAACAGGCCTCCAGTTTTGTTTCCTGCGGATGTGGATTTTTTTTCCCCTTTCCCGGGGGTGGGGGGGGAACGCTGGCCCAGGGGGGCAAAATTAAGGTTGAAATTCGGTTATGGTTTGGACAGTAAGAGGGAGCCACGCCGTCCCCGGTGCAGGATCGGGTTTTCATATTGGGTGTGTGTGTGGGATTTATGCAGTAGGGGTGTGTGCATCCTCTCCCCTCCCCCTGAACACTGCCAGGAAAAAAAAAAGATATTTAAATCTGTGTCACTTAATCAGTAAATTTTTATTGGGAGAACTGGCTTTCCTTCTACGCTTCAGCTTCCAGGGAGAAGGAAAGAAAACAGACCACGGAAGGGCTGGGAGGAAACATAGGCTCACTCTTTGAAGCCGGGAAGGGAAACGTGTGGCTCTCTGGAGGTCATGGGACTACAACTCCCATCTGCCCAGAGTCAGGCAGATGGGGTTTGCAGTCCATCGAGCCCCAAACCGTGTGATTTAAGGCATGGGTGGTGTCAATCGCAGGATCCGCTCCTTTGCGGCAGAGGTGGGCGCCCCCCCCGAGTCTTCCAAGCGCAAGAGGGGCGCTGAGGGGGGGGGGGAGAAGGCCGAGAGGGGGGGCCATGGGGCAGATTTCCCACCCACCCCCTTTCAGCGGAAGTAGTTGGGGCAGTCGTGGGCCACCAAGCGCCAGGCCTGGTCGAAGGCCTCCACCACCTGGGGCTGGAGGGGCCCTTCCTCGCTGCCCCGCAGGTTCTCCTGCAGCTGCTCCATGTTGGACATCCCGATGATCACGGCGTCCCCACGGTCGCCCTGGAAAATAAGAAGAAGAGGGGGAGGCGCGTCCGACTGGGGCCGGTTCAGCCCGAAGGACACCAGCTGCCTGGCTCTCCCCCCCCCCCCCCCCGCCCAAGGGCGGCCCCCTCTCTCCCTTGATGAGAAACTGGCTAGCTTTGGACATTGGCTGGACTACAATGCCCATTGTCCCCAAAGGGGGGGGTAAATGGGAACGGCTGTCCAGGGAAAGGGGGGGGAAGCCCCTGACCGGCCCACCTCCCTCTCCACCTTCTGCCCTGTCTGGCCCACGCCTGGGCGGAGGGCCCCCCCCTCGCCGTTACCTGCAGCTTGGAGTGATGATAGATCCAGCGCAGCGCAGCGCATGTCAGGCTGGGCGGATCCGGCCCATACGCTTCGCGGAGAGCCTCTCGGATCAAGGCCACCCCTTGGAAGTAAGGCTCCTTCCAGTACCTGGGGTGTTTAAAAAACAATAATAAAGCCCAGGGTCCCCTTCCAATGGTTTTTGACTGGCTTCACACCGACCGCGTCTCTCCCACTGGAGACCCAACAGGGCGCTGGGGTCAACATGTGGGTCAGGAAGTGGGAAATCTGGGTTCCGTTCCCCCTAGAACCCTACCCAAAAAAAAGGCAGGGGACTCCCCTTGGGGCTCATACGCCACTGAGTCCCTCTCGGCCGGTCTGACCTCCCAAGACAGGTGTGACCGCGAAACACCCCCCCACACACACACACACACCTCCCAGTTTCCTCGGCCCTCGGGGCAATCTTGACCGTTTACCTTCCCGGCTTCGCCGCTGAGCGCCTCGCTAGCCTCTTCCACCACCGACTCACCTGTTCCTATACGCTTCGGCCCAGTCGTTGCCAAAAAACCTGGAGCCTGATCTGCAGTCGGCATCTTTCACGTCCTCGTACTTGTATTTGCCAGTCAGGAGCCCTCCTGCAAGGGGTTAAGCCAACGCCTTTCCATGAGGGACTAGAAACTTGGAAATTGTAACAGAAAAGCAGAGCAGTACTCCACAACTCTCTCTCCCCAACCCATCCGATCCGTACCTGCCAGGGGGTTGTAGGCATAGAACCGCATCCCATAATGCCTAAGGCAGGGCAGGAGTTCGGTCTCCACTTGGCGGGTCATTGCGTTGTACATGCCCTTCATTGGGAAAGAGAGAGAGGAAACTTCAGACCAGCCAGATTTACTCAGAGATTTCTCTCGGGACGCGATGCCAAATGACCAGGAAACGCATCCGCTTCCCGGGTTCTTATAACACCTGAAAAGTTGGGTGTTTCGTTTTTTTTCCTGGAGAGGGAACCCAGCTCCTAGAAAAAGTGTGTTTCTTTATATGCCAGAGGGTTCTGGGTTCAAGTCTCAACCATTTCCGGTTAAAAAAAAAATGAGAAGGATAAAAAGTTTTACTTCTGTTGGGTTTTGAAGACTGCCCCCTTTGGAGGGCCAAACGCTGAGGAAAAAGCATAACGCACGGATCCTTCACCTGGTACACCGTGGGCAGCACCCAGTTTCTGGATCGGCAGAGGGTGTGAATTTCCGCCACCTCCCAAGAGGCATAATTAGAGAGGCCGAGCTCCTTAAACATGCCCTGGACAGACAGACAGACAGAAAAATAGGGGAAAAATTAAAATGTCACTAGATTTAACAGGCGTACATTCACAGAAAGGATAATAACATCAGGGAACTCAACGGTGGAAACGCGGCGATTCTTCAGGGTGGGAGAATCTTTTTCGATGAGGTTGCTGGTCTAACAACCTATTTAATAAAGTCTTTGAATCACTTGGTGGCACACAGGTATATATATTTTAATAAAGAGACCATCCATTCTCCCGTCTGTCTCACGCCGGGACCGGGAGGGATTCCTCTGATTTTCTTTTCTGAACGGTGGCACACGGGTATTTTTTTTTCTTAAATAAAGGGACCATCCGTTCTCCCGTCTGTCTCACGCCGGGACTGAGAAGGATTCCTCTGATTTTCTTTTCTGAACGCCTGGAAATCAGTTCGTCCAACTCACTCCCAAGAGTTACGGCGCTTTGGTCAACAGCGGAAAACAAAGGGGCTCCATTCCCAGAGGCCAGCCTGCACCCCCTTCGGGTTTTAGAGGGGGGCTCTTGCATCAAGCGTCCCCCAAGGCCAAAGGCCGGGAGTTCGATTCCTGATGTGTGCCTCCCAGGAGAAGAGCCAGCCTGGGTAGCCTTGGGCAAAAGGGGCACCGTCCCCAGGGACCCCCCACGACGCCTCTGAGTCCTCTCCACCTGGGAAAGGGTGGCCCTCGGAGGGAATGGACCGGGCGGCACCCAGCGATGCCGGCGATGGAGGGCCTTCTCCCGAGGAGCCCCGGCCCCTTCTTCTTCCCGCGCACCTCCTTGTGGAGCTGCTCGCAGGCCCGCAGGGTCTCCTCCACGGGGGTCTCGTGGTCCGGGGCGTGGAGGTAGAAGAGGTCCACGCTGTCCAGCTGCAGCCGCCGCAGGGAGGTGTCCAGCTGGGCCCGGACGCTCTCGGCCTTCAGGGTCTTCCCCTCCCACGGGTTGGCCTTCGTGGCCACTCGCACTGCCGGGGAAGAGAAGCCGGGGTCTGCAGAGGTCGGCAATGGGGAGTTTGCCCCTTCTTTGCTCCAGGGCCAGCCTGCTCTTGGCGCATGAAAAGGGATCCGACCCGCAGAAAGGAACTAGCGTGCGCAGGTAGACTGCCCCTGGATATGGAAGCTCTACCTGGGCAGCCCATGGGCGGCCCTCCAGACACCCAGGTCCCACCCGCCTTAGCCAGGGTGGTGATGGGGAAGGGAGGGAGTCCCAGGCCAAGAACATCAGCGCCCCCCCCCCATTATCCTCCTGCTATTACAGCACGGCAAGTTACTTTTAGAAAAGTAACTTGTCCTCGCTGCCTATGGAAAGGTTGGAGTAGAAGGCCGAGGCGCCAAGCGGGGGCGAGGCTATGCGGAGGGAGGGGGAGGCCATGCACTCTGCACATGCCCCGCCGCCCGCGGCGCTCGATCCAGCCACCCACCTCGGGCGCTCTCCCGGCGCAGCAGCTCGCCCAGGATGCGCTCCGACTCGCCGCCCGCGTACATGTACGCGCAATCCACCTCGCCGTGCCCGCGATCCAGGAAAGCGCGCAGCAGGGCCCCGCTGCAGCGTGAAGAACTCTGCACATCTTCAGAGGAACCCCTTTCCTCCCTTATTCTCGCATTTGCATCTTTTGCTGGAGTGATATCATGCCCTCCGCACCGCGCGGCCCACCTCCCCCTCGCGCATGCGCGGCCGCCTCTTTCTCCCCCCCTCCTCCTCCTCTCCCGCCTGACCTTCCAGCCATCGCAAGGGAGCGTCTCCAAACTCTTATCCCGGGGAAAGGGCGCCTGGAGGAGGAGCGTCTCCCCACGCAGAAGCCCCGGGGCATGTGCAGAGCGCTTTCCTTTCTTCCTCCCTACTTTCCCGACCTTGCCACGGGGCCCCTAAAAGTTGGGCTCCCCCCCTTTTCGGACTTTGGGGGCTTGCCCAAAGGGGGGCCTCCCCTCCTTCCTCCCTACTTTCCTGACCTTGCCACGGGGCCCCTAAAAGTTGAGCTCCCCCCCCTTTTCGGTCTTTGGGGGCTTGCCCAAAGGGGGGGGGGGAAATCCCTGGCGAGGAGTTCTGTAGAGCTCCCAGGCTTGCTACGTTGGTGCTTCTTTTTGCAGGCGAGGCGTGGGAAAAGCGCCTTGCCGGGCTGCGGATTCTGGGGTTTGTAGTCCCCCCCCTCCAAAAAAAAAATAGTCATTTTATTTTATTTTATTGCAAGCCCTGGAGAAATCCGGGCCTCTTTTTCCCTCCGTCCCTCCCTCCCTCCCCACGGACGGGGGGCTCTAGGGCGGAGGTGGGGCGAGGGGCCCGATCCTCCTCCTCCTCCTCCTGCGGGGCGGACTCCGGAGTCAGCTGATCCCGCTCCATCAGCCGCGGGGGCGGGCGGAGGGAGGAAGGAAGGAAGGAAGGAAAGGGGGGGGGCAAAACACAACAACAATGAATTAGATACAATTTTGCCATGAAGCCGGCCTCCTCGGAGCAGCCCCGGAAGGCAGGAGAACCGAGCCGGGCTCCGGATCGCGGCGTGTAAACGGGCCGGGCGGGGAAATCCGGACTGGACGCGCCGCCGCTTCCAGGCAGCCTTGGAAGAAGAGGATGGCCGGGAAATGACCCTCTTTTTTTTTTGTTTTTTGTCTCCAGCCTCATTTCGGCTTCTTTGCGGGGGGGAAACAAAAGGATGATAGTGAACTGATTGCCTCTTTTCTTGCTCCGGGGTAAGTGGTGCGGAATCTCCCTTGCGCGGCTCGGGCTGGGGAGGGGGATGCTGGGCGTTGTAGTCACACACAAAAAAGGAAGGTTGGCAGACTCAGCCTCCACCTGCCCCTTTATTGAGCGTCCCCCGAAACCCACCGAGGAAAAAAAAGGGGGGTCCTTATTCTGAAGCTCTCGCCGGGAAAAGAAAAAACAAACCACCCAAAACTCCGCAACTCCACCGTGCAAAGGGCAAAACACTCTGCTTAGGCTCAGAGGCCCCCTTAATCGTTCCAGATGGTGCCGACAACAGCTGGAATCTGTTTCGCTAAAAAAAAAATTTATGGAAGGGGCAGCGTTTAATGGCCTAGAAACTACGTTGTAAAGGGTTTGAGCTCGGAAATACCCCCATAAGGTGGGGAAATCCGAAGGGAGCAGGAAAAGAGATGAACTGACTCAGTAAAAGAAACCAGAGTCTGACTTCCTTTCTCCATCCCCGTGATTTATGGAGGGGGAGGGGACCTTCTACAACCGGTTCCGAGTTCAAATCCACCTCTACCCTCAGGTGGCCCAAACACTTGAGCTGGGCAGTCCCACGTTCCTTTTCCCAATGATCTCTAAAACGGGGGGGGGGACTGACTTAGACCCCTTCTTACACAATCACGGAGGTTTCAAAAGCGGTGTTTGCACACGCACGCGGACGAAGGTGAACCGGTTGGGTCACGAGTTGGTGGTTATCTGCTGTTGTGTCTCTGCTCCTGAAAGCTTTTGCAAACTTCTTTTTTTATCAAGCGGGTTTCGGGAAGCCGGGCCACCAAAAGCAGAGCTTCCTCAAAATGCCCTGGGGTGGGCGAGATCCTCCAGGCCAGGGTCAAAGTCCCCCCACGTCTCTGGGGTTGCACAAGGCAGATCTTTAAAAAGAAAAACTGAGTCACTCACTTAGGAGCCTTCAGAGCGCGGAGGAGATTTGCCACCTCAGACGACCCCGAGTCACATGAGAAATGCTTAGCGCAGGGATCTGGCGGCCCAGCATCCTGGCTCCGACGGGAGGCAGCTAGAGCCTCCCTTTTTCCTCCCGACACTGGCCACCAACATTTGCAGGTATATTGCTTCAGCACATGGAGGCTTTATTGAACTCGAGCGGTGACTAGGCGGGGGGCCAGGCATTTTTCATTGGATGATGTCTGAAGGGTGTGATTTATTTTGTAGCCTTGTTAAATTATAATTTATGGTGTTCTCACTTGTACTATTTCCTTTTTTAAAAAAATCATTTTGTGAACGGCCTTCCCTTCCTGCTTTTTGGTTTGTGTTTTTGCAGGGCGGTGGGGTGGCAATGGGACCGAACCCAAACCCGTCATTCTAAAACGGTCCAGCTCTGATTTCAATGACGGACAAATCCTGCTGCTTTTAGGGGCTTCTTTCGCTGTCTGTTGCCGCCAGACGGAGCCTCCCTGGACCCTGCACCCAACGGACGCTCCTGCCAGCAAGATGAGTCTCCAGACCACAAACGCCTCCGAGTGCCCGAATGGAACCCAGTGGGTCCTGGAGGTTTTGCACGAATGCGCCCAGGACGGCTGGGATCTCGCCAGCGTGGTCCTGGGTCTCGTCTCCATCTTGTGCTTTGCTGCGGCTTCTTTCCCGTAAGTCCTCCTACCTTCCCCCCCCCCCAATGGGGCAGCTCCCAAGAGCATACCTGGACTTCCATTTATTTTCCAGAGCTTTAAAAAAATGAATTATATTTTTTGGACGATAACTCCCCAAGTGGCTGGGGAGGGGAATTCTGGGGTTTGTAGTCCAAAGTCCCCCCCCCCCCCGGGGTTCTGAACAGGAGAGTCTAGATGGGGTGACACGCAGCCCCCACATCTGTTGTGTTTCGAACTCCCCACCTCTTGTTGGGTAAAATCTTTGGAGGCATGAGTCACTTCCTCGCCCGGGGAGGAGGAGAATGTGGTTCAGACTGTTGCCAACTCCCAAAGGCTCGAGGCTGGTTTGCATCCAGCTCTGGATTTTAGTGGAGGTGACAGGATCTGGGGCATTTTGCATACAAATTGGGTGCAATTATTCTTGTTATGATTCCAGATAAAAAGAATCATAGCCATGGGTTTCAGTCTGTTCTCCATGTCTCTCTGTGTATTTGAAACCTTAAAGGCAAAAAAGGTTTCAAATAGTCTCTGCTATCCTGGAGAGAATATTTACTCACCATAGGTGACCAGTCAAAGCTTGATAGACAAGGCTGCTCTTTAACCCCTTCTTCTCTGCACCTTCTTCCCGCAGGCAGTTCTACCTGGCCTGTAAAACCGGGATCATGGACCAGGCCCTGTCCCTCTATTTCCTTCTAGGGTGGCTGGGGGGAGACTCTTTAAATCTCCTCGGGTCCTTCTTGGCTGATCAGCTGCCGCTACAGGTAAGAAGAATGAAGGAATGAATGAACCTACATACACACAAACAAACAAGACGGAGATAAATGAGTGTGTGATTCAAGGCCATTACCTGGCCTTCACCTACCTTGAAACTCTAACCAAGTTGCAGAATCCTGCGTTCTGGTTGCAGAATTTATACTGCTCTGGTTGCAGAATTTGTGGCTCGAACGCTCCGCTCTCCTCCTCCCGCAGGTCTACACGGCCATCTATTACGTCCTGGCGGATCTGCTCATGATCTCCCTGTACGTCTACTACAAGGTCAAGAACCAGAACAGGCTAGGTGAGTCACATGCCGGTGGCTCACTGCGCCAAGGTTTTCCAGAAGCGGGATTTACGAGTAAAAACCCAAAACGAGAACCAGCGCAACAGGAGGGGGGAGGAGAGTTCCCCCCTCCAATCCAAGCCGACGTCTCCCCTTCTCTCTCCGCAGTTTCAGTCTCGATTAATGCCCTGCTGGCCTTCGTTCTGGTGGGAACAGTTTCGGCCATGCCGTTCATGGCTGGACCGGCCCCTTCTCTCGCCGATGGCACCACGGCCACCTTCAAAGGACGGACGCTTCTCTCTTTAGCCAACAATCACGTTCGGTGGGAGGTACGCTCGTTTCTTGAAAAAGGACAGAATTGCAGAATCCTTTGACAGAATTAATTCTATCCCACGCTGCGTTTTTGGCCAGACAGGACACTCCTGCCCTGCAGCATCTTATGTTTTTTTCTTAACCTAAAATCTTAACAGCCGTCATTATATATATATATATATTTTTGCTGGTCATCCATGGTCATAAGCTGTTGGGAGTTTCTACAACCCGGCATGCGGCCTTTAGTAGGTTTGGCTGGGAGGGACCTTTCTGTTTGGCTGGGGTGACTGTCAGTCTATTCCACACTAGCCTGTTATTTCTGGGATTCTGCTAAAGCAAGGGTAGGCCCCCACGGCTTTCTGGATTTTTTTCGACTGCAGCACCCAGCTGGCGGTGAGGGGATGATGGGAACGCCACCCCTCAGGGAACACCCTTACCCCTCAAGCTCTATGGGGAGGGTGTCTTAACCTGTCGTTCTCTTCGGCAGCCTTTCACCCAGAAAGAAATCATCGGCTTCGTGATAGGATCCGTCTCGTCGCTGCTCTACCTGCTCTCCCGCGCCCCTCAGATCTACACGAATGTAAGGTTGTTGAAGAAATGGGACAGGGTGTTTTATTCAGGGTGGGGAGGCTTTTCCATACCAGCTCAGAAGGTCTCGGTGGTGGTGAGGGTGAAAACATTTGTTCCCAAAACCTGATCAAAACAGGTGCGAAGCTGGAGCAGGCAAGAGTAACATGTGGTTTTTCCAGGGTGTGACTTTCCTTCAGGGGCGAGACACGACGGGATATGGTCTTCCTCTGGGCTCGACGGCGAAAGCGTCTCACTCAGTGTATCAAATAACTCGTGTGCCCAGCAGCCTTGCTAAATTTGACAGTGAGGTGGGGGGGCAACGTTGAGGTCGGGAAGGACCATTTCCATCTCTTATGGTTGGCCAGACCTTCAAAAATTAATTTTCATACAGAATTGCATGGGAGTCAAGCAGAGTCCCTTTGGAATTTAAGTTTCGACAGCCAGGGGGGTGCATGACTTCAGGAGGTCCGGTCTGGTCCCTGCTGTTTCATGCATGCATATATGTAATGCTGGGGGGGTGGGTGGAAACAACAGAACAGAGAACAAAATAACATCTCTCCAGTTCTTGATTTTTTTTTTCCTGGTTTCTTGGAAATTCTTTCTGGAACAGGAACATTTCAGCCTGTACACAGTATTCCAAATGTATAGGGTTTTTTTTAAATTAAAGTCTTGGCTTTGCATACTTAATAAACATGTTTCCTCCCCTTCCAGTTCAAGAGGAAATCGACCGTGGGCATCTCGTATTCCCTCTTCGCTCTGGTGATGCTCGGCAACCTGCTGTACGGGCTTAGCGTCCTAATGAAAAACCCGGACCCCGGCCAAACGGAGGGCAGCTATGTGATCCACCACCTCCCGTGGCTGATCGGCAGCTTGGGAGTTCTGTCTTTAGACATCGTCGTATCCTTGTTATCGAGAAACCTTAAGGTTGCATTTCTACGCTGGGGAAAAAAAAACCTGTTCAGAGTAGCAGAAGGCAGAAGTTTAAAAAACACCAACCAACCTACAGCAGGATCCCCATAGCCACAGGGGATTAGTTCCCCCCCCCCAGTAGATGCTGAAAAACAGGTTATAGTGAACACTATTTTAATAGCAAATGAACGCTATACTTAGCGTGTGCTCTGGCTCCCACTAGTGGCTAATTCTGCTAATGTTATTATACACATATATTTCTCTAGCAAACACTATACATAAGTGACCTCTGGCTCCCTCCAATGGCCAGTTCTGGTAACTTCACCTTTAGAAATGGGTACTGTATTTCTGGCAGACATTTAAGGTTTTTAATATTTTCAGATGGTGAATCAGTGGATACTGATCCCGTGGATATAAGAGTCCAACTGAATTATTGTACTATTTCTGTTAAGTCACTCTCTATAAGGTTATAGACGGAACTGCCTTATGCAAAACAGACCACACAGTCATCGACACACACCACGCTTAAAGCTCAGGACTTCCTTCTCCCACTGAATGAGAGCAGACCTTGATTCCCTCCTTCAGATTTCTTTCCAGTTCCTCGCTTACCGGCAGAAGAAACCCTCTCGGCTCGAAGAGAGAGAAGCCCTCCTAGACCATACTGAGGAGTCTCTCGAAAGCGGCCAGACATGACGCTGCGGGGATGCTGGATTGCGGAGTCACCGATCAAATGGAGACCCTGGTGTCCTCCCGGATGCATCCCCCCCCCGGAAGGATGCTCTACCTCTGGATTGTGGGGGGGGAGGAAGGGAAGTCCACACCTCTGTTACTAATAGGTCTCTTTCCAGAAAACATACCTAGCACCTTCAGGAAGGCTCTCCTCACCTCTTAACAGCCCTTGGGGTTTAAAAAAGGGACAGGGGAGACGTGACTTAAAACAAAACACACACCAAGGAACGAAAACCATTTATTTTCAGTTTTGCCGTGATGTTTCAAATCTGAAGCCAAATGTAGCTTTTTCTCCCCCTCCTCCATCAAAAAAGGAGAAGGGAAAAGAAAAAAAAACGTCGTTCACCAGAGGGTCTGGTGTTTGAAATGGGAATGAACTTTTGGCGAGTTGTGATGAGGGTCTCCTCGTTTGCCAATCCGGCGGCACCCGTTTTTCTTGGCAGAAGGGAAGGAGGAGGGACGCACCTCGATTCTTACGACGGCGTGGGGCATTCTCTTTTGAGTGGGCATTTTCGTGGAGCCGGGAGATGAAAATAGAAATAATAATAAAGGAATTGTTCAAAGGGTCTGAATGTATGTGCCTTTTTTTTCGGGGGGAGGGGGAGGGCTGGATGCCCCCTCCAGCTTTCCTGTTGTGTTTTCCACTGGAGCTTCTAAAGTGTGGATCGACCAGAAGAGGCTTTGAGGCCGGCGCACCCTCGGCTGCAATGCTGTTGGGCTTTTAAAAGCTTCCCAAGCCCGCATCATGCGTGACGGCGGCCCGCTCACGAGTCTCCGGGTGGGGCAAATGTCCCGTCCGATCAAAAGGAAGCCGCCTTTCGGATAGACGGGCCCGTCCCGGACTCCGTGTGCACGGTCACGGCAGGGCGAGCTCAGCCAGAGCGTCTGGCTTCCCTCTTCGTACACACCCTTTCCGAAGAACTAAGGTGCTTTTCTCCACCCGGATCACAAGCACGGACCCCCCCCCCTTCCCTGGAAAGGCCGCAGAGCCAACGGGGAGACTTTTTGTCAAGCGAGTGAAGGCTTTTATCGCCTACCCTTGAAACAAAAGGATCTCTTCGTCGCTGTTCCAAAGAATGGCCAGGGTGCCACGGAGTGTTTTTCTAGAAATCTTGGGGACTCTGGCTGGAACCTTTTACCCTGGACCTGGAGCAATGCTGCCATGCTCCCTTTTTTCACCAAGGCTTTGGGGCACAGCCTGCCCCAAGCTGTTCAGCAGAGGCTGGACTACAACTCTCATCAGCCCCAGCCAGTGCAGGCAAAGAATGAGCTGCGGTGCAAGCGATAAACTAGGGGCCCCCATGTATCCCCCCCTCATGCCAGCTGTGCAGTTGGGCGGCGTTTCCACTTCTACCCCTGACCTACCAGCCAGCCCCCACGGCGGCCCCAGAGCGCCACCACGAGGCCACGTCTGAGGGCTTGACACCCACAAAACATACCACGTGATCGACCCACCCGCTGAAAAGAAGAAACAGCCACGGAGGGCAGGAGGGGGGGGGACACACGCAGGGGGCCAGTGGCCGGCCGGCGGTGCAAAAACTCTGGACTGTCCAACTCCGTTTTCATTTTTTGTGGTTTATTATATTTTTCTTTCTTTTAAGGATGGAGGCTCAAGTATAAGATGCAGATTCAAACTGAAGCATTACAAATTTTAAAAAAACAAAACAAAAATCCAAAAGATAACCGGTCTTTTGCATTCCATAGAAAATGGAAAAAAAAGGGGGGGGGAGGAGAGAAGGGACAGGGGGAAGCATTTTTAAACTATCCCAGTTCAAAAGCAGGACTTCAAGCGTCACTAGTTTGGAAAACCTCATACAGACCACTGTGGTTTCACACCCCCACCCCTTCTCGAAGCCTCCCCAAGCACACAGAGTACATATTTTCCAGGGTTTACCTCCCCCCACACACCTTTCATACACCACAGTATTTAACAAAATCTTTTTTTCTTGTTGTTGCTGTTCGTTGTGTTGCTTTACATTTTTTACACCAATGTAGCAAAAGATGGAAAGCACGCGGAGCCAGGGGGTCGGGGTGATAAGAGGTTAACAGATAGCAACTGGCGGCCTTATTTATGCACCTTAAACATAAGGGAAGGGGGGGGAGAAGGGAAGAGAAACCACCACCCCCTGGATTCCTCCCTAGAAACGCTTTGCCTGGTTTTGGTAAGAAGGCAAGGGGATGGTGGGGGTGGTGCAGAAGTAAGCTGCAAGAGACTGCTAAAAGTTTATACAGCTTTATTCGTCGGGGCAGGCGGGAGGAACTCAGGCGGCGCTTGGTGAGCGGAAAGAGATCGGATGTGATGTCAGAGAGGAAAAAAAAACGTGGCGGGCGGCTGGAGGGTTGCAAGGAGAGAGAGAGAGACAGAGAGAGAGAACGAAAATGTTTTCTAAGAAAGAAAAAAAGGAAAATCTAATGAATGCATGGCATGTTTTTGTTAGCATCATCGACAGGGAGGAGAATTGGTTTTTAACTTTGCTGTTTCCTCTTCAAAGCCTCCACCAGGTCGTTCTTCAGCGCTTCTTGCTTCGATTTGTCGGCAAACGTCTGCACTGACCTGGAGGCACGAGGGAGGGAGATAAAAGGAAAGGTCGGGGCATTAAATAGAGAACTCTGAGCGGACGGATTAGGTCTGCCGTATCCAGAAACGGGTGTCCCCTCCTGGCTGGGAAGGATAGGACTGGGGCCACGCCAATTGAGGTGGATTATTCGACCTCAGGTGGAGACCTCGGACACTCTTTGCTAATCAAGGACAGCTCAAACCCAGGCGAGAAAGGGCACGAGGATGCCTCCCTGTAGAAGCATCTCGGGAAGCCTGGGACAAAACCAGGACACACCAAAACACTCCTCTAAATGGGTAAGGGGTTTCTTCAAGCAGAACTTTTCCTAGAAGGATTTTTTCAGAGATTCCGTCACCTACTGAGATGATCCTACTTTCCAGGGAAATGTGAAGGCTTATTTGGGCCATGTTCTCCACTGGAAGGACGAAGAGGAGAGCCAGAAAGATCAAACCCAACATCCTGTTTCCCCGACGGTCCTACCCCAACCTCCCCCAGCTCCTGGGACTCTCACAAAACAGGGCACCAAGGAAGTCACCCTCTTTCTGTGCCATCCTCATTCAGAGGAAGACGGATTCTGAGAAAAGGAGGAACCCCAAGGGGCCGCTCCGCATACGCCCTCTCTCTCCCTTGCAGCCGAGGGAGGAAACTCCGTTCTTGTCGGAAACGTCTTTCCAACCCCATACCCAGGAGGCATCCAGGAGACAGAAGAACACCGTGCAGTGTTTCCAGCAGTGTGGTTATTTATGAGAATTATTGTTCGCTTGAAAAAAGAGGAGCCATCTCCTGGCCCCGTCGCTGGCCACAGAGAAGGCGGACGAGGCTTTTCCTTCCCCTCTGCGGGGTCCGAGAGGAATTCAGTGGCACATCCAGCAGGTCACTGTTGTTGGAAGGTTAAGCCAGCCTGTGGTTAGTTAATGCCATGCAGGGGTTAGAAGCTGAAATAACTTTTTTTCTTTTTTTAAATCTTTCTCCAGAAGATGGGGAGAAGGCAAGAGAAGATCTGAACACAAGCTCGGGGATCTTGTCCCTTTCATCATCATTACGTCTTTGGAAAGACTCCAGATAGGCATCAGAGTACACTCTCTCTCCCTCTTTTTTGTTTCCCCCCCTGTTCAAGGCCTCAGGAAGTGAATTAACCACTGCCAGGATCTCCTTCCCAACATACTAGCAAGGGAATTCTGGGCAATGTAGTCTCAAAATAAGCCCTTTCCTAGGCGCTGGCAGATTTTAAAATGGGTCATCAGGGGCTTTGGAGATAAATCGAGGTGAATCAGTACCAACCCGCCAAAGCTTGGTTCTTTTGCTCTCCTTCCTTCACCTCTCTGCCCATCCCAAAATCCACAGACAAAGCTATGTGTACACCAAGGTTCACAAAAATGGAGAGGGGGGCAACGTACAGGGCACTGCAGAATTCAGCTTCCATATAAGATAAAATCAGAGTTTTTAAGTGTCCTTCGGTAACAGACAATTAAAATTGTTTAATGGAGCATAAATCAATGACAGTAGAAGGGAAGGAATCTGAAAGGCCGGTAATGTAGGATTCCACCTTGAAAAGCAATTCAAAATTTCCTCGAATTTTCCCAACAGGTTCGCAATGCCGACTGAGTGGGGAGATCTCTCAGAAGCCGACGACGCCTGAGACCTCAGAAGGAAGGTTTTCTGAAGGGGGTAGAGTCTTGATCACACAAAAAAAACAAGAAGGTTTTTAATAATGCTGACGTCTGGGGAATAGGACTCCCCAGGGCCGTTTTTCAAAAGTAGTGTGTGATTCAACCTCCAAAAGCTGGGAGGGGGAAAAAAGGTGTCTCTGGGAAGTGACAGTCAGCCACAAAATTCAGCCGTCTGCACTCCAGGAAATTCGGACCGCGTGAACTACTGTTGCGCTGAATTCGGCAGCTTGATGGCGTACTGTACACACAACCCTGGCCGCTGGGTGGATTTTCTCGCCCCTGACACAGTGCACAAATCAGTAGCAAAACCACACACACAAGGACACACACACACGCGGGGTCCTTAACATTCTACGTGCAGAAATCTCTGAATGTGCAAGAAGAACCGCACCACAGCTCGGAAGAAAGCACTCTGCCTTTTTAAAAAAACTGTTCAGCCACGTCCACGGGTTAGGCATTGGTTAGGACATGCTCAGGGATTTATGCCGGTTTTCTCTCGGCCAAGGTTAAGTGTTGTTTTAGTGTCAAGTGGCTGAGATTTTGGGGGGCCGGTGGCAGGGTGAGGATACCTGGGCCGGCTTAGTTATCCGGCTGAATATACATCTGGCGCTGGGTTAACACTTGGGAGAGCTCCCTCTGCAACTGCTTATATTTTTGGTTGTCAGGAATAGCATCAATAGATCTAGAGAGAGAGAAAGAGAGAGCGGAGGGGATGGAAACAGAGGCAAAGGCACGGGAAGGACAGGTCAGGAGAGGCCAGGAGGAGATGGTGCCAGATTCAAATCCTAGGAGATGCTGGAGCTGTAAGAGCAAGAAGAACCATGGCAACTCGAGGAACGCCCGAGACGACCGGAAGACGTAGAGCAGGGCTCCACCAACGGGACACTCTCCACAAAACACATTCAGAAAAACATTATACATGAAAAGAAAGGAAGACAACAAGCTGCTGGGTCACACAGAGCACTTCTTCAGACAGAAACCATTCTGTGCTACCCTGAAGATGGCCACTCGGCCACCTTTTTTTTTTTTTCCTTCCTTGCCTCCAGAGGGCAACTTAATGAGAAAAAAGGAAAGATTTGCAGGTGTGTGAAAAAGGAAAGATTTGCAGGTGTGTGACAGTCCAGCCTATTCTGCCAAAGGTTGCAAGATTTGTTGGGGGGGGGGGAGATCAAAAAGAGGAAACAGAAGACTCCAGCACAAGGATCTCCACAGGGTTATTCCTCACAGATACGAGGGGAAGAAAAAGAAAAAGGAGAGAAGCGAAGGACACTGTCGCCGTTCAGCCCTTACCTAAGCCCGTTGACGATGTCCTTTGTTTTTCCAAAATAGATCTCGTTCAGCGTACTTCTGATTTTATTCTCCATGTCCTAGAAAGGAAGGAGAGAACAAAGACGTGGCTCATTTGTGCCCAATGACTCTTAAAACCTTTCCCTGCCGAAGGAGAATGGAAAAGCCAGCCATTTCGATTCTGTTCGCTTTGGACTCGCCCAAGTTCAGAGTTCCTTTCTCCCTCCCACAGCGGGCAATTCAGATGAGAAACCTGCTCTGACTTCCCCCCCCCAAATGCTTTTGCCGCTACAAAAATCCCCAATGTTTTTAAATGGGTTGGAAGTCCTAAACCATATTTCTGCATGTGATGTTCACCAGATCAGGCATGATCACAGAGACAAGGGGAGGAAGAAATCTACCCCGCGTTTCAGGGCGCAAAGCAAAAGCACCAAAGCTGCCCCCCAACTGGTCCACAAGAGGGCAGCAAACCCCCATGGAACTCAGAGTGCCCCTGGGTATGAAACAGAATCGACCCACCAGCTCCTACAGCCAGCCAGTCTTAGCCTCGTACGGTCCTTTCTCTTTTTTCAAAACTCCACTCATCTCTGTTAAGTGGGTGCATTGCCTTGGAATCTGTTCATGGCCTGTCTCTCTCTCTCTCTCTCTCTCTCTCTCTCTCTCTCACACACACACACACACACACACACACACACACGGGGGGGGCAGCAGCAACTGAAGACTTGTGCAATGTGTTTGGACCAAACAAGTTTAATGCAGCAAGACTTGACTGCCAGGAAGTTATTTTCTGCTCCCAGACTGGGCTGCCAGGGAGCCCGTCTGGGCCTAAAGGCTCCGATCCCCCACCACGAAGGAGAGAAACAGTCCTCTGGGTGCATTTGTCCCCAAAGGCTTGCAACGGCAGACCTGGCGAGATGAGAAGTCACGGGGGAGGGTGGCGGCACGCAGGCAGCTTCCCGACATGCGAGACAAAAAAGCAATTCACCATCGGAGCCCCGAGGCAAACAAGAGGGTCCCCTAGCTGGAGGGAGAGCACAGGGGAGACGCCTTCCCACTCGCCCCGCTCGGTCGACAAGACGTACCTCTACCAAGCGGCCAATGTTGGCTATGTGCGGAGAGGAGTCGCTCACGGTCTCGTCTTTTTCCATCTGGAATCAGAGGTGGGGGGAGGGGGGGAAGAAGACGACAGGAGATGGCTGGCGTGAAAACACGAGAAAGTCCAGACAGATTAAGTGCCCCTCCCCGGGAGCCCAATGGGGGGCTTCGGGAGAGGAACTGAACGGTGGTTTGTGCCAAAGGAATGGATCCTCAGCCCCTCAAGCTCAGAGAGGGCACCACCCCAACTAGGCAGGGTGGGGGACCAACCCCTGGAGGGCCACACCTGCCCTGTGTCCCCACCGACGGCTTCTTAGGGTATCTTTCAGGACCCCCACCTGGGGACGGTCAAGGCAGCCCCCGCAACCTTCTCGGCCCACAGCCTGCATTGCCCCAGGCTGCGATCCTTCTCCTCAAAGTAGACCTTGTTTTGGAATTGGGGGGGCAAGCTTAAAGAGGGACAATCGACTCTGGTGTACCTCAAGTCAGAACCGTGGCCCACAGACTTAGCTACAGACTTCCCTCACTGACCAGCAGCAGACTTGAGGCAAACCAGGTCAGATCCTCTCCCAGCCTGACTCTGGAAATGCCCGGGGTTGCAAATTCCAGGGACGGGGGCTCACTTGGTCCTGAACTTATGCTGTTTATCTAAATACCTTGGGAGGGAGGGAGGAAGGAAGGAAGGAAGGAAAGCAGCTTTTTATTGAATTCAGAAAGGGGCGACTGGTAACACTGGCCCCCTCCAGCTGGCCTGGCAATCCCTGACACACACACACACACACCCCGAGGGCATCCTCTCGAAGGACTGGAAGTCATCGCCGGAGCAGCCTGAGGAACCCACCCTGGGCATCAGCGGCCAAAGCAGTGGGTCAGGCCGAGAGCGCTGCCGGGCGAGCCTGACGGGGCGTGCAATTTGGTCCGAGCCCGGAAGGCAAGAGGTGATCACACAGGGTGGGGCAAGGGGCCAGATCCAACCAGTCAGCCTCATGTGTTTTTCAACAGACAAAGGGGGAGAGAGATTAAAGCCCTCGTTTTACTTGTCCAACCTCTTGCACAATGCAGAGCGCTGGTCTCCAGCAGGAAAGGGGTCACCTGCTCCCCCCTGAACACTTTCAACAGAAGATGAAATGGGTTCTATCTCGGGCTCACAGCAGCCCTTGCACCCATGAGGGATGAACCACTGGAGAGCTCAACCGTTTAGGTGTCTGGCGGTGGAGCCAGCGGTTGAGGGTTTGATTCCCCTCCATGGTCCCTCCTTGACAGGGGCTGGGCTGGATGACCTCACAGGGTCCCTTCCAGCCTCTGCCATTCTAAGATTATTGTTATTATGACTCCCGCCTGAGCCAGGACCACATAAACGTGGTTTATGACTCTCTACGGTTCCTCTACTGGCAGTTCTACAAACGGGGCATGGTTTGGAAACGCAGCCGGTAGAGTCCTGCAAATGATTAAGAGAAGGGCAGAGCGCCCCTCTTTCTCTCTCTCTTTCTCTCTCTGTCCCCCGTACCTGTCGGGTGAGGCTGCCTCCGAGGTTCATTGTGCCGGAGCCTGTTTTGTTCGTCTGCAACCACAGCATCACCGTGGAGGTCAGCTTGTAATGGGCCGTACGGCCGCTGGACTTCTCCTGGAAGGGAACGGGAAGGAGCGGAAGGGGGGGAACGTTAGCCCAGCGGGGCCCAAAGCCTGCTTTCCCCACCGTCATCCCCCCCTTTCCCCACGGCAGCCTCTGGAGCCACACTCTGTGCTCTTTCAACTTTTTCCCAAGTCGACGGCCAAACTTCCCGAGGCCGGAGAGGAAAACGCACTCGGGTCTCCCACTGGCCTGTCGAGCCAAAGTTAAGCCACAGAGAAAAAAGGGAAACAAGAACACACACACACACCCTTTCCCTGATACGTGAGCAAGGGAGATCCAAGCAACCAACGCGACTCTCACCCCTGCGCTGTCGTGGCCCTCCAAACGTCCACAAGCTAAAGGGGGGGGATGAAAAACCCCGCCTGAGCGACCACCCCGTGCCAAGGGTAGGCAGCAAAGAGGGTATTTTTCAGGTCTTTGGGCCACTTTTTGGATGGAACACCCCCCCCCCAATGGAATGGTCTCCTTCCAAACCGCTTGAAGGGGAACGTTTCCAAATGAATAAGAAGAAGTTGGTGCCAGAGTGAGTGGGCTGCAAAATGGAGGGCCGGAGAGTGGAGGAGGGGAAGAGAGAGTCACGTTTACAAGCCTCGCACAATATTACATGGTTCACCCAAGCACCTGCGTGCTCATTAGCTGCCTGGAATTTAATGAGAAGGTGTGTGTGTGGGTCTGGGGGGAGGCGTTGTTGCTTATTTTACTTCTTCTTCTTCTTCTTTTTAACCCCTTAGGAACCAAAGGCTGCCGCAGAGAGGCGAGAGAGAGAGAGAGCGTGTGCCGGCTGTACCTGCACTTCCACTACATGGATGGAATCCCAGCAACCCTTAATCTTCTTTGATCCGTCGCCAGCCTTCTTAATGAGAATCACGCCGGCAAAGCCGTGATCGAGGTCCCAGAGGTAGACGGAGGACACGCCCCCTTCAAAATACCTGGAGCCAGAAGGGAGAGGAAAGGGGGGGGGAAACAACCCAGCCATCTGATCAGAAACAGAGAAGAAGGATTTAAAAAAAAAAACACAGACACACACACACATGGTTCTGTAAAATTCTACCCAAAGTGGTGTTTTCCTGGAAGCCTCTGCTCTGGTTTCTTTCGACTGCTTGCAAAGGACGTCTCTAGCCCTTGCGGCTGCAAAAGCGGGAGAGAAGGACGAATGGACGGAAGATTCCTACTGAACCCACCGGCTTTCGGTGCCCAGCCCAGCCCCCAACGGCTTTCTGTCCCTGGAAAAACTCAGAATAAAACTGTGCACATTTTCAGGGAATTGCTCCGACTTGCAGGTGGAGGACACAGGCACCAGGGGTCTGGAGGCAGAGATTCCAGTCTGTTGATTATGAGGGTGCAGGTGATCCCGGCTGGGGTGTTTGTTTCACCCAGATCACAGCACCCAGGGTTTTCCCTCTGCTCCCTATTTTTAATCCTCTGGAGTCTCCTAAGCGTTGGGTCTTGTCTATAGGTTTTGCCTTAAGGAGGCCCTGGGGGCGGGGGGGGGAAGAGAGAGAGAGAGAGAGAGGAGGGACTCGCCTTGAGTCTGGGGGACGAGGCAGACGGACCCAAAAGGAATTGAAATCACCTGCCAGACATCTGGGGCAAGGGGGGAAGCTGCCAAGCCTCCCTGCAGGGAAAGCCGCAAGGCTCCCACATGACTGGCGGGCAACGCAACCCCATGGACTCCAATTAAGGGCAACAAGCTGTGAAAAAGCAGGCTGGAAACCCAGCTGAAACTTAAAACCGCTGTTTTATAGCCCTGTTCTTCCTCTGCGTCACTCCTCTCTTCGCCTAGCATGGCTGGAAAAAAGCAAAACTTCACACACGCACACACACACATACACACACCCCTCCGCACAGCTTCTACGACAAGGTTGCCTAATTAAGAGGAAAAGGGGAACAGAGGTGACCTGCCGGGTGCCCCCAGCCTCTCCCTTTGGTGTGCAGAGAGAGGGTGTTTCGATTTACGGCCCATCCCGACAGAGCTCGAAAGGGAAGCTCCGAGAATGGCTTGGAAAAGAAAGCAAGGCGTCCGGCGAGCCACCTTTCAAACTGCCGAGGGGGACTTCTCTTCTTCCGGCAAAAATGGGCTTTGTTTGGTTCTGCAAAGAAAGGGATTCCGAAAACAGCTTTGGATGCCACTCGCTCTTAACCGTATGCGAAACCCCAGGCATGACATCCAGCGGGCACCAAAGCCAGGGTGAAACGGCCTCCCTCCCAGCCCACGAGCGCCAATCAATGAGGAAGAGGAGGCAGCTGTGCCCGGTCTTGAGGTTATTAGAGGAAAAGGTAGCCTATACGGGAAGAACAAGAACAAAGGGAATCAGGTCGAGGAGGGAGGGGGCTCACATCCTCAAGAGTCCGCCTTGTTGCACCTCTGCATGAGTTCCTGCTCCCGGCCAGTGATGCCTGCAGCTGCCAGGAATCGCTCTCCACGTCTCAGGCTGGATTCTTTTCCAGCCTTACGTAAAGATGCCGGGATTAAATTAATTGTTTTAAATTGAAACTGTAGTTGTAATTTTTATGATTTTATATATTTTTATACTGTTTTGTTTTATTTTGTAAGCCGCCCCGAGTAGACATGGTCTAGAGGGGCGGGGTAAAAATCAAATAAATAAATAAATAAATAAAACAAATAAAAGATTAAATCTGTGACCTTCTCCCCCACCCCCACCCCTACCCCCGAAAAAGAAAACCCAAGCACTTTGCCCCTGAGTTACAGACCCCAAGGTGCGTGTGTGGGGGGGCAGTGGGGAGCCTCTCCCAGGAGAAAAGGGCTTGTGCCTACCAAGCCTTTTCAAGTTTAACACTCAAGCGTGCCTCCGATTGAAGGGGGAGGACCCCCTCCAATACAAAAACAACAACTCAAAGCTAACCAGACCTTTAGGAAAAGGTGGTACGATATCTCACCAACGCGCCCTTTCTTTCCCGCTACCGACTCTACCAGCCTGCTCGGAGGACGAAACGTTTTACTGGGGACGGAGAAGCGGGCAGGATGAGGGCTTGAAAACCATCTCCTTCCCTTCCGTTCTTTGACCTGACAGCATGACCTGGGGGTGAAGATGGCAAGAGAGCCGGGCAAGGGCAAGGAGGAAAAGCTCTCATTTTTACACACGTCAAATTTATGGGATTTTTTAAATAAAAGATTCCACGGGCATGTTTTAAGAACGTGCTAAAACGTCGTCCTAGACCACAAAAAGCCATCCAAGCAAAGCGCACACATGGAAACACTTCGGACGCCTTTTGTGCCTTTAATGAATCAAATCCAGCATTAATGCTGTTTTAAATGCTAGGGCGAGGCCCTTCCAAGCTGGCTCTGGGCCTGGGTTCGAGTCTCCTGAGGGAAGTCAAGTCATCGTTCGGTGGTTTCCGAGCCACGCTCGGCTCAAGGGCTAGTGACGTCGTGATGATGCTTAGCCCCCTCCCCTCCTCTCTTGCCAACAACGGAAGGTTCGCCCCTGCTCTTTTCTCCATGCTGAAGTCAGGGAGGCTACGGCAGGCCTGAGTGGAAAGGGTGGACGAGAGACAAAAGGAGCCAGCGGGACCCACCCACCCATGCCGCCGCCCCCCCCTTCTGGAATTTGAACGCAGCAGCCACTGTCCCACAGAGAACACGTCTTCCCCAGAAACTGTCATGAAGGCGGACAAGCTCATTCTGTCTCCCCTTCCCCTAAATGCCATTTGCTTTGACAGACCTCCCTCGTGGCAACCGGAAGCACGTCGCTCTCCGGATTACGTTGGACTCCAAGTCCCATCGCTCCTCCCCACTCGATGGGGGTGATGGGAACTGCAGCCCAAAACGACCTCTCTACCCGCACGGTTGGTGGGTCTTTCTCTCCCAGGTGCCCACCAGGGGTCACTCGGCCCACAGTGTTGTCTGCTAAAGCATCCCCCCCAACGTGTGTGCTTTGGTGATGAATGGGCCCCGGTGGCGGCAGGCCGTTGCTTGCCAGGAGAATGAAATCAAAAAGCCACAGGGCAAGCCTCTTGGTAACGCTGATTAATTAGTTCAGAAGGGATTTTCCAAAGTCTGGGGCGCACAGAAGAGTCTTGCGTGACCACAAGGCGTGACCTTACGTTCCAGCAAAGAAGTAACGGCAGAGGCATCGGCCAATATTCAGCACACACATAGAACAGGAACGTGGCCACGCAGATGTCCTGAGAGCCTGCCTGAAGGAAATGGAGAGTTTTGCAGAAAGAGAAAGAGAAAGACAGGGAGTGAGTCTCACTCTCCCCCCCCCCCTTTGGTCCAGCTGTTCCTCGGCCACAGCTTAAGCAAATCTGTCCGGACGAGGACGCAGCCCAAGGCTCCAAAACGCAGGTATTTGGCAAATCCTCCCTTGCGCGCACACACACACACACACACAGGTGCAGGTTCGCCCTTGAGCAAACATACTGAGTCGGTTTGGTATGCGGTCCCCTCTCCTGCCAGGGAGGCTTCCCAAAGCGTGCACATCTGGTGGGCAGCTGGGTGGCTCAGGACGGGCATGGGAGGCGGCTGCCAGCTCCGGGGGAACAAAGGGCAGATTGAAACGGAATGAGTAGCTCCCCCTGCCCACCCCCCCATGCACTGCCTCCAGATGGGCCCGGGGGGGGGCGGACGGCCAGAAGATGACAAGCCAGACGGAGGCCCCCCAGGCTTCTGCTGTTATTTTGCACCTTCCTGATGGGTTTGTGGGCAGTGGAGAAAGCCCCAGCCCAGCGCTTCACCTCCATCCTGGCCGGACCGAGTCCACCTCTACAGATGGGGCCATGGAAAACATATGTACAAGACACACACGCCTGGCAAACTGATAAAAGTCAGAAGCAGATTCTTAATCCTCCTCTTCTGAGCAATTTCACTGCCCTCGAAGGCCTTCTAATCTTACACTTGGATTCGTGTAGCTTTTATTCCATAACAGGTTGCCAAAAATAAATAAAGAAAATAAAGAAAAAACCCAAGTTGATGGCAAAGCATGTCATAAGGTGAAAAGCCTGGATGCAGGAAGGGGGTGATCGTGTGACTTCTAAGGCATTCTCAACCCCCACCTGGATAAGTCCAGGATGCTCCTCAAGCCGAGGAAGGCGGGGGAGGCCACGCAAGCCTCGTGGCCCCTTGGTGCCAAGAGAACGGGGCCAGGGCGTCCAGAGGCCACCAGCAAGGGCCCCCAGCTGCAAGAGTGGAAGCAAAATACCGTATTGAATACAAGAAAAGCGGGTTCTGCCCAGCAGAGCACCCCAAGACTTTCGGAGCTATTCCTTCAAAGAACTGCCCTAAGTTTCGGGTTCGGTTCAAAGCTGCGCCACGAGCCGTGGGGGCAGAGAAGCACGGAGGGAGGTCATCCCTCTGCAGACTCCGGAGAGCTGAAGCCCAAAAGGACCTTTCCAAAATGTCAGGAAAGGGGAAACAGGACACGCACGCACCCCCGCATCTTCACCTGCTTAGGACGCTTTTCAACGGGGCCTAAAATGCCAGCGGTTTTGGAGGCTTAAAGTCACACAGCCATTCAGAAGATGGAAAACATGGCGCGCCTGAGATGCTGCTGTGCAAAAGCACAGCTGTGTTTCTCAATACTCCGTTCCCCGTCGCTACGCCAGAGGTGCGCATGGATGCCGGAATATTAAAACCAGGCGAGAATTTAGCTCCAGAACCCGTGCACACGAAAGGGAAAAGAGCCCATTCATCATCCAGGCCTGGAGCAAGGAAGGGAGTGCTTGGCGGGCCTCTGAACAGTATGGCTTGGAATCGCTCTCTATGTCCAGCCATGCCCCCCCCCTCCGTTAGGGTCGCCCTTCGGACAAGCAGGCCTCGCAGGAGCCCCCCCCCCTCTCTCTCTTGAATCTGCCCAGTGCCAAGGGGAAGGCTTTTGTTCCAAGTGTGCTTTGGAAACATTTGCCCAAATTTGGTCAATCTCTCTGCCTTTGGAACAGGAAAAACAAGATGTTTTTAAAAATGCCAATGTGGAAGAAGGCTGACGGAGCAGTTTTTTTCCCCCCTTCCCCAGCGAAGAAGAGAGTCTTATATACCACCAAGAGGAGCCGCAAGCGGTCTAGAGAGAGGGTTGGACCTGCCCGTTCGATTTATGTAGATCTTTCCCTGCTTTTACCCGAGACGGGTTGCTAAGACACATTCCCACGATCCATCTCTCCAGAGATGCTCTCTGCTTCACTTTCAGGCGTGCGCCTCGGCTTTCAGGAAGCGTTTGAGAGCTACAGCCTTGCGAAAGGGAAAGGGTTAAGGGATTCTGCAGCAGATCCAAACCCGAAGAATGCAGAGAAGCATACAAAACGGCGAGGGATCCAGGGCTGCCTAAGGGCACAGGAATGCGCGGGGCTGTCTCGCGTTAGTGCGCACGAGGAACTAATCAAAAACACCAAACAACCGTCCTTGAAACAAAACAGGGGAGGAAGAAGGCTGCTTTCTGAGGATGGAAACTGGTTTCTGTCATGTTCCCCATCTGGCCACGGGGGCCGTCACGCCTTGTCGCCCCAGATCTGCCTTGGACGCGCTGATGGATTGGGGGGGGGTCTTTCCACCTGGGAGGACGTCTCCGCTCCCTTCTCAGAGCCCTTCCTTCAAAACAACAGTGGAGGGGGGGGAGACACCCTAACCCCTGGATCTACCCTCTTCTAGGCCTCCGGGTACCCCCCAGCAAGGATGAGAAGAGGTGGGAGAGAAACCAGATCACTGGGCCCTGATGGGAGGCTGGTCTCAGCAGGCTTGGGTTCCTGTGGGCAAAGGACAGACTCGTCGGCTCAAAGGCCGTGAAACGGCTCTCACCCCCCTCCCCGGCCCTGGTGACCCTCTTGCTCAACATGCTGTGCTTTTAAGCCTCTCAAAACCACAAAGAAAGGACACGAAGCAGAGAGAGGGAGCCACCTTGAACCCACCACCCTAGCCTTGGTTGGGGCACCGCGAGGTGTCTGATTGGTCACAAACGAGGTGCAAGGCTGGACCCACCAAAAATGGCCCACCGAAGAGGAAGGTTAAATCGGGTGGAAAAAGGAAACTGTTCCTAGTCCGGGCCCTGGAAAAAGGCCGGCTTGTTGTTCCAACGCAGGTGGCGGCTTCTTAACAGAAGGCGGGTTTCGACTGGAATGAAATCTGTCTGCAGTGGCATGACTGGGAAGTTTGCCGGGCCAGGGGTGGGAACCTGGAATGCTCCCCCTCGGGGCGGGAGGGGAGGGAACCCCCCAACTCTTGGTGGGACATTCCTTGGGTCAAAACAAGGTGCAGGAACACACAGGTCGGGGAGGCCAGAAAACACAGATCCACAGGACCCAGACCAAATCAAGCCTTGAATTCTCCACTGGAAAAACTAAAACGACAGACTATTGTCCTTTGGGAGCATCACGAGAAGGGCAGGGCAGAAGAGCGACTGGTGTGTGCCGTAGACAAAGAAATATTACCAACTCTACAAAGGGCATTATTTTAGCAGGGTTTGCCTTTCCCCCATGCCTCCCCCCCCAAAAAAACCCTCTGAGCTGCCTTCTTAAAGACCTCGAATGGCTCTGTCCTCAGGGCCATCCCCATTACCCTTGCCCTCGATAAGACCCATGCGACAGACGGCACAAGCTAACTTACAAATCTCTGTACTGGTCAAACGCATTGTTCGCTTCCACCTCAAGCTTGCGCAGGCGAGCGGACGGCATCGCTCCATCTTCCAGGGGCGGGTCATATTTGTTACTCCACGGTGATCTGCAACGGGAGACAGAAAATGGTCAATACGGGAGCTGCGGAAAAGAGGACTCCTTCTGAAACGGGGGTGTGCGTTGACGTTTTTATCATTCTTGAAGGTGGACCAGCGAGGTTCATGGCGGGACTGGTCTCTGGAGCTCGGCATCGGAGGACCAAGCCTACAACCTAAAGCTTGGCCTTCTCCTGCAGGAAAACCGAGGGGGGGGGAGGAGAAGGGGGCTGCACAGTCCCAGTTCCTTTTTGGGGGTTTCTTCAACATCAAAAACCCCCTTGGGAGCAGAAGTCAGGAGAGGTGCAGAAAGAGAGAAGGTCGGACTGTTCTCCCTTCAGCACCTCCCTCCGATTCTCTCGCCTCTCGTCTCAAGACTCGGCGCGACATTTCACACCGGCAAGGAATGATGTGACTGAAGGAAAAGCCGCAAAGGGTCCAAGAGGCAGGCAGGTTTCCGCCTGAGACAGTCGGCCACGAAAGATCTCCATGGGAAGGGTCTTCTCCGGGTTTGCTAGACTTTTCTGTAGTGATGCTCGAATGAGAACATCCTGCCCATCACATGATCTCCGCACCTACAAATCCTCAAGCACTCAGTCCTGGAGTGCTCCTCCCAACAAAGACTCCCATTAAAGGACTGTTTTATGAGCACCACTGCCCACCAGAGTGTGATGGGAAGCTACCCGTGAAAAAGCCCTCACCCTGTTTCTAGAACACCCTTGCAATAGGAATCTGCTCACAGTCCCCCCCCTCCACCTCTATGCATTTCTGTTCAGCCTTTCCTTTCTCAATCCCATTATTATGCTTTACTACCTGCTTTCAGCACCCTAATATTTTCATGTCTGGACGCTGGATTGGCCCATTTAATTGTTTCACTGGCTTGTCTTATCAACCGGCTCCTGCCTTGACGGTTGTAAACCCCACAGAAGGCTGTTTGCCGCTGGGCAACAGAGAAATAAATGAAATTAAACCAACAACGAACATCTGCAGCTTCCAAACGGCTTTGTCCCAAATTTTTCTTTTCTTAAAAATGGTTGGCGGCTCTGAAGTTTTTTTAAAAAAACTTGAAATCTTATTCTTAAAACAAACCCTTTCATGCTGCCTCGGGAAGATTAATCATGGATCTAGCGCTAAAGCCGGAATAGAAATATCAGGAAGGAAGAGTTTATGAAAAGAAAGGCTTTTAAAAATGGATTTGCAAGTTGTTATGGCTTTTCTATTTATTTATTTTTTTATTATTTATTTTTGAAGACTTATCACTAAGACGGATGAAGAAAAGGAGGGAAACAGCCCTGAGCTTTCCTCCCGTCAAAACTCACTAGAGGAGGCAGAAAAGCTTTCTTCCTGTTTGGGGACTTAAGAACACCCATCTAAGTTTGGAGAACAAGGCATCCGGCTCCCTCCTCCACCTCTCCAGCCCGTCAGCGCCTGCCTTTCTTTAACAAGGTGGGCTTGATTTAACTGCAGTTAACAGATCCCTCCTGCACAATGTAGGGAATGGAATTTCGGAGCCCTACAGTCGCAACTTCGCACTTTTCTGGCCTAAGACACCAACATGTGTCCCACCCCCCAAAAGAGAAAGACAGAGAAAGGGGATACATGCAGAGAGAGAGACACACACACAGAGAGATGTACTACATGTCTATTTTAAAGAACACTGGCTACAGTAGTAATTTTATCCACAAGAAATTCATAACACTGCCTTCCTCCAAAACAGGTTTACAGCCACTCAGCTGTCAGGACACATTTAAAAGCTTAGAAAGGAAGGCTGTTCGGAGGAAAGGCAGACGGACGGGTCCTCTTGGGCCGAACGCGCCAAGCTCTGAACCGGCCCGTGAAAGAGAATTACGACTCTTGGGAGTGAACGGGATCCGAAGGGGGCCGATGGCACAAAATATCCCCCTCCACAAATAAATAAATAAGTAAATAAATAAAAGATTCTATTTCAGCAAAGGGACGGAAATGCAAGGTTAGGAACGTCCAGAGAGGGCCAGGGGAGCGCTCAGGGTTGTTAGACAGTGTGTGTGCAGGGGTGTACACACACACACAAGAGACAGAGAGAGACAGAGAGAGAGAGAGAAAGAAAGAAACACTCAGCTTTTAGGCTCCAGATGCCACAGCTGTTGCCTTCCTCCAGATGTGAGCATTAACTGGCGTCCTCCACCAGCTGCAGCCACAAACAGTGGAAAACGAGCCCACCTCATCATCCCCTCGGACCAAACCTCCACTGTGACAAGGCGGAGGGGCTTGTGAAAATGGGACTCGCTGCCTTGGGGACGTGTGGCGATGGCAAAAAAAAAAACCACCTTCCCTTGTGGACCGAGATTCTTCACAAGGCGAAGGGGACAAGGTTTCCGTGAAACTGATCTTTAGATTCGTGAGGGAGGGCAAGACCTCTGTGGGCGTGCGGTGCTCCACGACCATCCACGCGCCTGCTTTGTAAGGCTGGGCCATGTTGGCTTTTCTGGACGACACCCCCCAGAATCCAGCTGCCGGCACAGGAACAGATTCTTGGGAGCGGTGGTCCAGACAAGTCACTTGGAAAAATACAGACCCTCACCATGACCTACAGAGGAAGACCCCAAAACCTTCCCTTTTACTACAAAAAAAGGATTGATTTTTGTCCCCGGAAGAGGCGCAAGGCGAGGCTCTGGCAGGACCACTGTCCTTCCCCACCCTGCCTTCGCAGCTTCCGTCTCCTGCGTGTGGTTGCCTTTCCCACAGATCGGGGCTCCTCGTCTCTCCCCCATCGCCGAGCGATGAGAAGACCCAACCCAGGATCTGGAGCGGTGTTTTCGAGGGCTTCTCACAGGAGCCCCGCTAGGCGATACAGAGAGTCGGTAGTCCCACCAAATGAACTTTCCCAAAGGGCAGACCCGGACGCAGGCGGAACCACCGGGCGCGCTTAACCCTGGCAAACGAAGACCTTAGCAAAGGCACGTTGTGACTCGTGGAAGCAGGGGTTAAGAGCCTCATCACTCCACCCTTGCTGCCACAGGTGAGGATTTCCTGACACTTTTAGTTTGGTTTCTCTAAACTGAACTAGAGGCAAGGCCCTGGTGAACCCAATGACTCTCGAGCGTCAAAAGAGGGGGCCACGCACTTGTACGCCTATGTTATTTGCCACAGAGAGTGGAGGAACTGGAGGCGGGGGGGGGGGGGGGGAGAGAGGGGCACCGCAGTCACCTGTATGAGTCTCCGTCCCGATTGTAGTCGCAGAGGAGGTAATCCTTCCCCACCACTTTGTCCCGCGCGATCTTCAAAGGCTGGTCGACGGAGGACAAGAGATCTTCACAGAGGCTTGGGACCTGACAGGAAAAAAAGAGGAAAAAGTGGGGGTGGGGTGGGGGGAGAGAAAGTAAAGCCAAAGTGAGACAGACGTGCTTCTGAAACCTCAGCTGCCTGTCGCCCGAGAGCCAGGCTGCAACAAACCAAACCACGCCCCGTTGTGATCCGAAAACACAATCTTTGTGGGGCCTCACAGGTGTCTATACTTTTCTTTACATGTGGCAGACTAACCGCACATTTCCTTCACCCGATGCATGGTGCGTGGATCACAGCGTGTGTATATTCGTACACTGCACACACGCCGTCTTGAACTTGGCCCTCATCACCGCAGCCGCCGGTGTGGTCTCGTAAAGCCACGTGCCCGGTGCGCCGTCCTGTGCGTGCCGCAGGGGCCTCGCTCCTTGCCATGTCAGGGGCTGCCGGGCAATGGCAGAGGTTTTTAAACACAGTAAATATTTATAATGGAGTGGAAATCCAAGAGCTGCAAAGAGAATAAGCTGCCCGTGAACGGCGGCTTTAATTTTTTCCACTAGCTCATGCTCTAGGTGGAGTTCCGTATATTTTCCAGGCTCCTTGCCAAACATTACTAGGCTAGTTAACTTCAAGAAAAAAAAATATATGGTTACCTGACACATGTCATTTAATTTAAAAAAGAGAGGGGGGGGCAACACACCAATACACCAATGTGCAGCTTTAATATTTGAAGGATGAGAAGAAATGTCTAGTCTTTGGTAAATAAACCTGCAAGTCACTAGTCCATAAGAAAAGCGGGCTCACAATGCGGACTGTAACCTTTAGAAGCCCACTGAAGTAAATATGCAAGTTTTAAAGATGCCTTCAGACACTGGGTTACTTTCCTTTTTTGTTTTACTTGTAGCAGCTTAGCCCACCCATCCATCCATTACAATAATGCACGGCTCCAGAAATCAGAAGAATTCTGAGAATCGGAAAAGAAGCCATAACGGAATTAGAAAAGATAATCAAGTGCCAGGATATGTCCCTGGAGACCAAGACCATCCACACGCTCGTATTTCCGACAGCTGGACAGTGAAGAAAGCCGATGGGGAGGGGGGGGTTGAAATGGGGTGCAGCTTTGTGAATACCCCGGATTGCCAGAAAGACAATCAAGCCTGTGAGCTGTCTCTGGAAGCAAAAAGGACGCTGCTTAAAGCTGTCCGACTTCAGGCACATCCTGAGAAGGCGCAACCAACGTTCCCTTCTCGGCTGCGCACGTGCGACCCTGCAAACGGGTGCATGCAGCCAAGCGACTGTTTCCTCCCATTTGCTTCCGGTCACTGCCAGGACGCCACACACCGGGAACGGAGCCGCCACGCAGCGCTCCGGAAAAACGAGAGGGAGCGTGGGGCCCGGCCATGGATTCTGGGAGTTTGTAGTCCAGAAAAGTAACTACTTCTGAGTTCTAACCCTAACCATGACTGACAGAGGGTAGGAGAAAGGCTAGAAAAACATCCCCTTGTCAGCAAAAAAGGGTTGAGCTCTCGTGACCAGGAAAAAGACAATAATGCTGGGAAAAACTGAAAGCCGTCGGAAAAGAGGAGGTTCAAAATACAAAATGGATCGGCTCCCTAAAGGAAGCCGTGGCGTTCAGTTCACATTTAGAAACTGAGACTGCAGTACTCTTAATTTTACTGTTTCTTCAGGATTTATTTTCCTTGTTCTTTAAAATGACTTCGTCCGTTTTTGGTTTCCTCCTCATTCTCTCCTCCTCTCTTTTCTTTTTTCTTTCTCTCCCACGCACCCCATTCTTGACATCCTATTTTCCTGCAAACTGAGCTATACAAACCGAGGAAGGGGGAATTTGTGTGTGTGTGTGTGTGTCTCTCTTTCTCTCTCACACACATATCTGGACCCGGGTCACTCTGAAACCGGAGACTGTCTCCTAAAAATTGGACCTTTTTTCGGTAATTGATTGTTCCTGCAAAGAGGGAATGAATGAGAGCCCTCTTTGGAAACAGGTTGTAAAAGGGGTGGCAACATTTTGAAGCAGCCGGGGAGGGGGGGTCTCGGAGAACAGGAATGACAAATTGAAAGAACAAGGAGGCTGTATTAAACGGCGGATATAGGACAAGCATCCCCTTGTCCTTCTGAAACACGAATCTGTCCGGAGTTAGTCAAGCAGGTAGGAGGACAGAATTTTAATTAAAAAATAAAGTCCTCTTTCCGAATCATCAGCCACCTGTGCTGCAGTGGGAGGGGGGGGAGTTAGAAACCAGATCACTCTTCCTAGGACAGTCTCGCTTCTTTCCTGCTCAAAAGCTGGGACAGCGATGGACAAAATTAAAATCCGCTTCCCCCCCACCCCCTGAAAAAAAAAAGCAGGCAGCAGATCAAGAGGAGATGCCTTCCAAGTCTTCGGAATTCATACCAATAGAGAAATTGCACCAGACCATCAACCTCCTCTACCACAATTTCAAAAAAGTGAGTTTGGAAAGCGGGGGTCAATCTGACTTCGCCCTTGCCTTTGGGACTCGCTAAGCTGGCCTCTCAAGGGCGCGACACCGAAACCGGGCTTCCGGCGAGGAGTTCCCGCGTAAGATAGGATGCCGTGGGGAAAAGCAACCCCAGAATCATGCTGAGAGGGACGGCAAAACGTTCCCCCAGATACAAGGGACATGGGGCTCTACAGGCTTCCTTGGAAAACAACTGCTAGCCACACTAATGAGCACAGCCCATACGAGGGAATGATGGGAGATGTAGTACAATATTTGGAAACTAACACAAGTTCCCCACCTATGTCACATAAGAAGCAGAGGAGTAGCATCCAGAACACCTTCTATTTATCGTAGCGGATAGAACCTGCCACCTATTTTCTGAGAGAATTCGCCCTGATCACCTATTTGACAGGTTTAAAGAATATTTAAGTGTTACAGTGTTAAGCAGCGGGAGGAGGTCCTTTGGGTTGGTGAAGCACCTTCAAACTTTTGGCTCGGACGGGGAAGCCCTCCTGACCAGATTCAAAGCACCTCGAAAAGCCAGCTAAGAGAAGCAGCGGGACTACGTTTAAAGACTGTCTGCCGCTCAGTTTATACGAGACCTCTCTTGGCTGCCTCCGAGAATGCTTTCCTTTTCTTTTTTTTAAAGAGGTCTTAAAATGAGTTCCGAATGCCTTGATGGTAATCTTTTTCTAAGCTGAAGACATTTCCATTTACAGCCACGCTCGCCGAGTGGAAAACTGGCTTGCGCCGAGAGGGGCACGGTTTCGATCATGCCAAGTCCCCGAAATTTCAGCCAATAACACTTGATCCGGAGCCCCGGCAGCTGCTTTCGGCATTGATAGCTGTGAAAACACACCGTGTCCGATGCGCTCAGCCCTCTTTGGAGAAAGGACGCCAAGTCCACGGAGGCCACCCCTTTCGAAACCCCGAGGAGGAGGAGGAGAAGGCGGGGAAGAGCTCTTAACCATCAAGGTGTTAAGGGGAAATGGGCAGCATAAGAAGCTGCTTGCATTTGTTGTGGGTTGCTAGTCCTCAAGAATTCGGGCCGTCGTCGGTGTTAATTTTCTGGCAACAGGCAAAATGAACGGTGGCACTGAACCACAGATCCAGAGTGGAAAACCTCACTTAGTCCTTGGCCACGTGAAACCCCCATAATGAACCCAAGCTCACATCCCACACTGGTCTCCCACAGCACTTTCCAAAATTCTCTCATGGGCGGACGAGACTCCAAGCTGACTGTTTCCCAATAATTAGTCACTGGATTCTCGAGTTCGGCGCTCGGTGCCAGGGCAAATCAACCAGCATCTGCCTAGCCCCGCCGCTTCTTTTAGACCGGAGCTTCCAAGGGACCCCGTGACTGACAAGGGCTCTAATGAACTCTAATTACAGGCTCAGCCGCGGATGGAGGAAGTAACAGCAGATGTGGCGAGAGAGGGCCAGGCGCTCCGTTCCACTAATGAACGAGGAAGCATGGAAGGAGGGGGGCACTGATGAGTGGCAGTGACCCAAAAATGGCCTCTGTCCACCCCGAGCCCCCGCCACCCCACCCTTCTGAGATGGGCTCTTTTCATTCCATGTTCAAGTTGGACATTTTTTCTCTCTTATCAGCAGAATTCTACAGGGAAGACACATCTCCCTTTTTGACAAACAGCCGGGGGGGGGGGGCCCTCAGAGGTATTTAAGGGTTATGAGTCTTTAAAAAGAAAATCCACCTCTGGGTCAAAGTTCAGCCCCAGCTCTAGAAACTGGAGAGGGAGCTAAGGGTGCACAGCTCAGACAGGAACTGGTGCAATCTAGAAGAGAGGGAGAAAACATGGGTTCAGTTTTCTGAACGCATCTTAGCTATAAAATCTGTTGAAGCGCTCCAGGTTCTGGTGTTAACAAGTTAAAAGCCAGACCAGGGAATGCAATAACAAACTCTGGCTTCTAACCATGTTTTGTGGCTGGGTAACAAACCCTGATTTGTTTACTGCGATGCTTGGGACACCCCGAAGAAGTCGGAATTCAACAAGCCACCTCCTGGTTTCTCATCGCCTGCAAACCCGGCCAGTCTCGAAACCGACAAGCTCCAACTGCTGCTCTTGACCAGCATGCCAGAATTTGCACCTACTGCCGCCGAAATCCAATCCATTTTGACTCAGGCTGCTGCTCTTTAAGTGGTCTTTAAGGGGCCACGATCCTCTATTGGTTTTGCGGACCCAAGGAACTCGGCTTCACTTCTGGGCACATCAGCACCATCGCAAAGGGGCTCGGCAAAACCATGGGTTTCCGATACTCACCAAATCGATCAGGTCACTGAGGTTTTTCTCAATCTGCTGGGGAGGCAGACGCCTCATCAAATCCAAGGCACAATCCAGCTGCTGGTCACTCTAGGGAGGAAAAGGAAACAGGAAAATGGAAAAGAACTGGGTTACTTACAAGCAACGCAGAAGAGCATAGGAACAACGGTGAAGCTGACCCAGTCGCCCTAAGCAACCGGCCATCCTCTCTAGCTCCGGATTACCTATTTCAGAGGTTCTCCTAACTGTGGCTCTCCTGCACTGCTGGACTTCCTCTCCTGGAAGAGCCGCTGGGGAGGCATGCTAGGAATCCCAGTCCAAGCAAATCCCAGGAGTCTAAACAGGGAGTGTGTCTTGCTTACTCTGAGGAGCAGAGTTGCTATGGTGTCCTGACACACGTTCGACTTTTCCACTTCTGTTCATCCAACACCTGCTGAGATGGAGATGCCAGGACCTCTGAATAGGGGACCTTGTACAGGAAGGGCTCTGCCTGGAAGCTACGTTCACCCGGGAGGCCAGGCATTTTCCCAAACACACTCCCTTCTATTTTAGGGGCAGGCAACCCAAGAGAGCTCCAGAGGTTCTAGGCTAGGACTCCCACCACCCTTAGCCGTACTGACCATGCTGGCTAGGGGGACGTGGAATTCAGAAGCCAAACCAGGCGGATTATACCAGGCTGCTGATTCTTCTGGCTGGGGGTTCTCAGCACCCAAAAAGTATGGGTGGCCTGAACAAGCCAGAAGAGTGACCACCCTCCGGATCACTGCTGTTCCTCCTTCAGGCCTATAAAGAGAGCCCTACACACAAGTGTGAGTGTGTGGATAAACTAGGCACCCTCCAGAAAAAAAAGAAAGAAAAAACTACCCTCGAATAGTTTTTCCACTGAGTCTTCAAGAGAAGTCTAAAGATAGGGGGGACTTGGGCCAGCTTTGGCTGCAGAGGGTCAGAGCGCACTATTTAAAGGGTCTGGAATTTCTCTTGCACACACAAGAGGCACAAACATGTGCACCCGCTTCCACCAAGGAGCAGGTGGAGCCACGGAAAAGGAGGGCTTTTTTCCGGCTCGTGTTGGAAAAAGACCACCGCATGCCATCTGCACCGTAAAGGCGCCACGTCCTCCCTGCGCTGGGCCCTGTCCGTCACCAGCAAACGGTGTCATCAGCACTTCCTCCTTTACAGGAGCCTGAAATGCTAACCACGCACCAGGGCCTGGGAACGGACTCCAAGGTATGAATTCTTCAGAGGTCACGGCACACATATGCACATCCCAGCTCGGCGCTTCAGAGTCCCAAAACAGGCAGACAGATGCCAGCATAAAACAAGACACGGATTACACTGGCGCTCCTTAAGTCAAGGGGAAATATGTCTGAATAATCTTAAAACACAGGCTGCAGCAGAGACTTGTTTCCACTGATCCAAAACATACACTGGCTTGATCGCCGACAGGCACTGATATAAAGTTTATTTATCTGAAAGCCTTTGTTAAATGCACATATTCACTCCTCTTTAGTCTACGAGGGGCCCCCAAGCAGAGAACAAAAAGAAAAGCTTGAGTTAAGCTACGACGTCTTTTTGTAAAAGCACGCAGCTTTTGATTTCTTAAGATTATTTTATGGGCTCTGAATAGCTGAATGGTTTTTAAACAGCTGAATGAGTCTTGAAAATCGTTTGGAGTCGCCTCGGCCGCACCCTGCCTTGAGACGTCGTGACATACTGTGGAATGGAAATATCCTAAAACAAATCAATAAAAAGAGGGGAAAACAAACCGTTTCTTCAAAAAGGACACTTCAAAAACCGCCTTTAAAGTCAACATTGTTGAAAAACAGATGGTTAACTGGTTTACATATACTTCTGACATCGTAACAATGTTCTTTAAAACAGTCTTAGAAACGTTTCAGATTACGTCAGCGTTCTTTAAAAACATGGAGCACTGCTCTTTATTTAACCTCCACAACAAAAAGGCCAATTCCTAACTCAATTCTGGCTTGGAGTCTTCTATGCCTGAAGATGGCTGGATAGTTGCCGAGCCAGAGGTTGGGGATTCGATTCACCACTAGGCTTCCTTGTGAGTAGAGCCAGCCTGGGTAGCCTTGGGCAAGATGCACAGCCCCAGGGCTCCCCCTAGAGGAAGAGAATGGTGATGCACTTCCGAGTCTTCTCTACCTGGAAAAAGGTCACCCTAAGTCAATATTGACTTGACACCACATAATTATTATTATTATTTTAAGTGTCTACAACATTTTAAGTGTGGTGTAGAGTGAGAACCGGGTCTCCTTGGATTCAAGAAACCCGTGTTCAAATCCCTGCTTAGACGCAGAAATTCGATGGCGAGTGCCAACGGTAAAACCCCTCCTTAAATATCCCACACATTGTGAAAACAGACCGACGTCAGAAGCAATGGCACACAACGCACATGAGCTTTTTTTTTTTTCCACCCTAAAAAAACCCGCAAGTACACTCAAACGTCCTTCCTAAGGATAACTATCTGGAAAACGTTCATCTCAAAACATCTCGAACACTACTTTTATCTGGGTTATGACTTCACTCTTACTTAGGAATATTAAAATGTTTTCTCTGGCTGGGACAACTTGGCAGTATCAAAGGATCATGTTGGCATCCCCTCTTTGTTACTAATTTCACAAAACAAGAGGGTTCTTTAAAAACATTTTTTTTCCCAAAAGGAAAAAAAAAGAGCAAATGGAAAGTTTTCCAGAGAAAAGTCAAGAACTGGGAAGAGATATGCAAAAAAGATGTTTTCAACGGGGCCACCCATGAAACACGGTTATATTACTCCTCTCTAGCATTTCCATTTCCAGTAAGCTGTAGATAGACCAGTGGTTCCCAACCTTCCCCCCCAGATGTTCTTGAACTGTGAAACTCCCAGAAGCCTTCACCACGAGCTCTGCTGGCCAGGATTTCTGGGAGTTGTAGTCCAAGGACACATGGGTGACCCAAGGTGGGGGTCACGCTTTCGTCTAGCTTCTTGTGACATCCATGGGTTCCTTATCAGAGCTTGGAAACTCTGAATTGGCAAGTTCCCATTGCTTCAAGGGGTCTACACTCTGGCTGAGACAAACAGGTGGATTCAGGCCACAGGAAGCTACTTTGCACCCCCAGGACCCACAATGGGCCCACCTCGGCCACTCCCGCGGATGCATTTTCCCTTCTGGGAACAGTTGAGAGCCACGTTTTGCCATCAGCTAAGAACTGGAGAAATGGAGGTTACAAGGAGAAGTCTGGTTCCAAGCAGGATCCATTCCACTCTCGGCTCTCCAACCCTCGTCTCCCCCCCACCCACAGACACACACACACATGGAAAACGCTTGTTTAGCTTGGCCCGCGAAGACACAGCTCCTCGAGCAGCTAACCCCAGAAAGAGGATCCTTCTGACTAAAATTATTGTCACTGCCTCCCGCGGCTTCTTATACGTCAGCCCCGGGGGTCAGGGTCTTCGCCTACAGGATCGTGGGAACGCAGGAGGAAGCAGCTCATCCCAGCAGGACCAGATGGGATTATTTAATAGGAATGGAAAAGGGGTGTGGGGGGGGGGAAGAAGAGACACTCGGCCTCACCGGGGGCTTCCTCCAGCACTTTCCTATGACTCAGGTTTTGGATCAACACACCCGAAATGCGAGCCACCCTCAACCAAGATTTATGTTTCATCTATATGTGGCTAGATTCACAGGTGAGTAAACCTAAACCCTGTCCAAAATTTGCAGACATTTCTCTCTCTCTCTTGCTATTTATATGGCATATGATGCTTCAGCAGAGCTTACAGCCGGCCAGGCCACTAGTGTGATCTGGGAACCTAAACTCTTTTCACAAATCTGCTCCCTGAGGTGTGCCTAACAGGGAACACGAGGGATAAAGGATGAAGACAGGAAAACTTTTTAGTGCGCTCCTCATGCATGCACCCAGTTCGGCACATCCTTTTAGCCCACCATTTTATTCAGCTATTTGGGCTTTTTGCACAAAGCCGGCGTGGCAAAGCTTAGCAAATCGAGACTCCTCTTTCTAGCCCTCAGGGCAAGAAGGCTACCTACAGTGGTTGAGCCACATCAAGGGAAGTGGCGTGTTAAGATTCAGGAGACAGAAAATTAGAACCAAGCACCCCTCCCTTGAGTATTTAAAAAAAACGGAGAAGCCGCCCAGCGAGACACTTCAGCTTCCCATCGTCCACACAGGCCCTGGAAATCAGATTGGCTTGGCTTCACGCTTTGGATTTGCTCCGTCTAGGAAGCACGTTTGCCAAAATTACTAGCCGTCAGGACCACACGTATCCCACCACAAAGGCTCAAGTCCTGAATGGGAAAACAAACCTTAAACGAAACCATTCTCTTCCAACTTCTGCGGAACTGGCCGGATGATTTTTGACCCTGGGTCACTTCGAGATAGGATTCTGACCTCTATTAAAAGCACTCCTTAGAACGTCTACCAACCCCTGTACCTCCTTTCGCCCTCTTCCAAGGAAATGTAACAGGACATACACCCGCGTGACCGGACAGCATGCCCCCCTCCCTCACAGACAACTCTGCTGGGCCCAGAGGGAGGGACTGAGCAGCGGGGTGTGTGTGTGTGCATGCACATGACTGTTTTCTACTGGAAAAGCAACGGCTGGGCCCCAAATACCAAACCCAGTGTGTGTGTGTTGCTGACGAAGCCAAGATCTCCGTGGCTTCGGGACTTTTCGAGCGTGTGGCAGACTTCCATGGCGGGCCTCTTCGCCCCAGGAACACACCCTCCCCTGCAAAGGAGCAAGAGGCCTGAAAGGCACTTTTCTCATTAACAATTCCGGCCACGCAGGAGACTGGAAGGTAACCAGGAGCCCCAGCCAGAGGCCAACTCTCCCCCCCCCCGAACCCTTCTCCCGACTCCCTTTGACACCCAGGCCTCTGCTCCCTGGCTGGGCTGCTGCCTCGCCGGGCTCTTTCCTTTTCTCTCTCTCTCTCTCTCTCTTGTTCCTCTCCCTGTCCCTGTATTCAGGAGCAGCAGGATCCTGAGTCATCTACCCCACGGTGCCACTTCAGGGCCTCCCTGATTGCTTCCTTTTGTCTGCGTGGAGCCTGCCCACCAACTCAGCAGGGTTTGGGGATTCTTGTACTATTGGGACGTGGGAGTACAAAACTCTGCCACTCAGAAACACTTCTGGGTTGGCCACCCCATCCGTGGCTAGTCAGCTCCGGGGGTATCCCGGGGATGAGAGAAGTGGGGAACTCTAAAAGCAAACGAACGAGTCAAAATCCTATTTTTGGTTTATACCAGGCTTGGGCCACCAGGGGGCACTGCTGATGCCACGGAGTCCAGCTACCAGCTTCTCACAACCCTTAGCCATGCTGGCTGGGGCAGATGGGAGCTGTAGTCCAATGGGACACCAGGAAGGCTGCCGTTTGTCCATCAACACATGGCATCCTCCAGAGAACCTCCCGTCACCGAAACCACGTGGAGAGGCAAAAGTTCCCAAATAGATGTCCAAATCCACAGGCTAAATCTGAGACATTCTGCCATCCCGACAAGGACGTCCCACTAAGTTAAGCAGGTCTGGATTTTATGCTAGGCATTCAATGAATGAGGCAATGAATGGGAGGGAGAAAGAGGAGGGGGGGTGCCGTCCTTCCTGGCCGAGCCATTTCTGGGACCGTGTTTATTTTCAAGATCATAGAAGAGAGATGTCGGTTATTTGTACGGCTTGTCATTAACCATAACTGTGTAATTTGGCCGCTTTTATCTGGTGCCAGAGAGACTCACAGAGTACAGATCTGACCATAACAACCCATAAACCTACTACCCTGGCGTCAGGAGGAGGACGCAGTGCCATCAAATGGCTTGAAAAGGGGGGGGGGAGGCAGGAGAGAAAACTGCAGCTTCCCAAATGCACCGCACACACAGTCACCTCTTATTAGATTTAGGCTAATGATGCTTCTGCATTTCCCACACCAGGTGCATCTCCCCAGGGCTTACAGAACACAAACCTCGGGATCCCCAACCATCACCCAGGACTTCCTGGCAAATAAAACCTGGCTCAGCATCAACAAGAGGGCACTCGCGTTGCTCTGATAACCGTAAAAGACTATGGTTTGTTCCAAAATCAGAATATTTGAGCTCTGGAAGACACTTTCCAAGCGAGAGCTCCAGAGCCAGTGGGGAGTTGTAATCAGAAGGCTGGACTGGGACACTTAAAAGATTTAGGTTCACGCCCTCATTAAAACCCACAGACCGACTCTGAGCCAGTGTCTCTCTGGACCTCGTCTACTTCACAGAGCAAGTGGGAGGCGAAGAGCGAGGGAGGGAGGAAAAAAAACACCCACAAGACTCCAAACTCATTTAGAAGGAGGGCTGGATGCCAATGGAGCAGACAAATAAATCGATAAGCAGAACTGCCTGAAGAGACAGACTGGCTCCAGTACCCTTAGACCACAGACTCAAAATACTATCGAGTTGGGAGGGAACACAAAGGTCATCTAGTCCAGCCACAGGTATGGCCGCCCTGACATACAGCTGCCCGGCCTCTCTTTGAAAAACCTTCAACAAAGGAAACCCAACCTCTTCTGGGGGGGGGCATCCCATTTCTGAACAGCTCTGACCATGGGCATTTGGCTCCTAAGGTTTAGCCAGCTGGATCCATGCATTTGAGTGCGAACCTTCGGAAAGACAGAAAAGAAGCTTGGCCTTCTTTTAGAGGACAGGCCTTCAAACATGTGAGGCTGCCTATGCTATCTCACGGCTGGGATTTAGCTTTATGGACATGCACTCCACCTTTCATCCCTTCCTCTATTTTCCTGGTCTCTTGCCGAGGCTGTAAGCCTTTGAGAACAAGTAGCTGCCCCCCCCCAGTACCCCAAACACTGGTGGGGCTAAAGGTCTGCACTCATTTAATACGGCACCTTTCCCTGCCTGTGGCCTAGGCAGACATCCTGGCACAACCATGCCCTGTAAGAGACAAACCTGGCTTCAAAAGAGGATTCCCTGCTTCATAAGTGGCACCAGTAAGAAGACGTTGTTGTTGTTTAGTCGTTAAGTCGTGTCCGACTCTTCATGACTCCATGGACCGGAGCACGCCAGGACCTCCTGTCTTCCACTGCCTCCCGGTGTTGGGTCAAAGAAGACATACCTAAAGGCTAATAGCTATGCACTTGTGTTTTCAACATTTCCTGTCAAGGCTGCCCACTGTAAGCAATTAGGCGTTGCCCCAAAACAGCATAACACCCAAAGCAAAAGCAGTTACCGCTGTTGTTGGTTTGTTTTTTTTAAATTCAATTCTCGTGTCCTTGGAACAGTCAAACATGGGGATTTGGAGGGCAGAGGCAAAGGAAGAGAGGAAAAACCGAACGACCAAGGAATCAGGGGGAGATAAAAGGCAGAGGAGAGAAGACAGCTGCTCGGTTTGTTAGGGGAGATGTGCCTCAAAAGAATGAAAAGCGTTCAGTCGGCAGAAAGGAAGTTTAAAAAGCTGTGCTCAGAATACGGAATGCAAAACCACCAGGCATTTACATTCTGTAGCAACTTCAGGGTTTCTGACTCTCTCTCTCTTTTTTTTCAGAAGACAGGATATTTTAGCAGCCAGCGAGGAAGCAAGAAAGAAAGGAAGTAGGGGAAAACTTGCAAGCTGGTGCAGGGCATTCAAAATGCTCTGGGACAAGTGAACATGGACTGGCTGTCATTCTTCAGAACAAAAGGGAAGGCCCAGGGTCTGCCTTAATAAGAATCTTAGCTTCCATTACTAATAAAAATAAAATAAAAATTAAATTTAAAAAAAAATCAGCATAATCAAGTTTCTCTCTCTTAGGAAATGTCAAGATGAGAATCAAAGGAGGCAGGGGGCAGCCACCAAAATCTCTGCAGCCGGAAACAAAACAGAAGATTCTTGGCGTCTCTCGTGCCCGGATTTGCAAAAGAAAACCTGTGAGCTTTCCTGAGGGAAGCCAAGCAAATACACGCCATAGAATAAGATGGAGCTCTCGGTGCCGTGGCTGGGCTGGGCTGGGCATCATCTGTCAGTTATCAGCATTCCTACCAAATAAAGGGATCTCATCTTGCCTCAAATAAAGCCATCTCCCCCTGTAGCAGAAACTATCATTCTAAGAGCAGAAGAGGCAAGATTGTCCTTGTCTTGCTTTTTTAGGGTCAGCCCTAAATGTTTTTTTTTTAAAGGAAAGGAAAAGGAAACTCAGATTACATCAGGCATGGGGGAGGTAGCTATAAAAGCCATTAACAATTAGTACAACACGGCAAAAAGTCTTTAGCGAGCTCCGTAGCTCACTGGTGGCTTAAAATTTTAATCTCCCAACCCGGAGGGTCAACCTCACCATCGTATTCTAACATCTTTTGCTCTGTTTCATTTGGCCTTTACGAAAGAGCAAGTTATAATTACCTCCAGTAAACAAACAATCAGTCCAGAATTAACTATCATCTGGGTAACCAAAACTGCCTGGTTCGGCATTCCTCCAGCAGCCCATGCTATTAGGAAATATATATATATATATTATTTCAAGGGAGGTTTTTTTCTGACAAGGCCTGAGCCCTGAAGATCAAAACAGCCTTCGCTCCATGATTTGCGGGACACCCCCTTTGACCGTTAAGCACTGACTCATCGGAATGGTTATGCCTCAAGGGAAATGCCCAGCAACAGGAGCGCCAGGCTCCTTGCTAGGAAAATGATAAAATATGGGACGCGACCCACCCTTTCCGCCTGTCTCGGGGCAGAGGAAGCTCATATTCTCCCCAGCTGGCTTTCCTGACACGGCTCTTGGCAGATTCATGATGATCGCCACCCGCATAAAGCCAGAGATGTTACCCAGAGCTACTAGCCGGAATTAACTAACATTTCCCCCTTGGTGACTAGCCAATCTTCGTTTCTTTCTACTCTCCTCCTGTGTTCCCCATGAGTAAGAATCCTCCTTGGTCACAGTCCTCAACGGCCAGAAGAGATGCATCTACATTTCCTGTGAAATGATTTCCCAAACTCTGAGTTTCGGAGATGAGGGTTATTTTCGGTTGAGGGACAGCTCAGAAAAATATCTGCTTGCACTGAAACACTCTTTTTCGGTTACTGACATAAGCGGGGAGGGTGTGAGGAGCCTCCCTCCTTAACTTGGCCCTTCCCAGTTCTTTGCTAGGGCACGGGTCCCATACAGAGGGAGGCCCTCCCTGGCCGGCCAAGAGGGCTCCTAACTAGCCCAGCGGAAGCTAAAGGGTGAGCATCTTTCACTTTGGGAGCATCTGGCGTGCCACAAGTGGCCCTCCTCTTGTTAACAAACAAATCAAAGACACGGAAGGGACAGGAAGGAAAAAGGCAGAAACCTTCCTGGAAAACACGCTCATTCTTTGGGACATGGCCAGGGCACTGATTGGAGCAGCTTCCCAAACCAAACAAAGGGTCTGAGGCTCACATTATAGCCCACGTTACAACCCTGAAGTCGTAGGAAAGATACAAAAGATCTCTGAATGAAAAACAAACGAACACCCAAATTAACAAGCCTGAATTTTATCCGGTTAAGTATCAGGAACTGCTTTTGGGCCAAAGGATGGACCTGCTCTCAGAGGAATCCTGGAGGGAGGTTTTATCTAATCAGTTGATCAGAATAAAGGAGTCTGATCTGATCTGGAGTGGGGGGGGGGCTCTGCACATCAGCCAGAGAAAAAGGATGCAGTCAAAAAACTTACTGGCACAGCTTCCTTTAAAGCCCTGACTGTTCACAACCTAAGACTTTGAGAGAGATCCCAAGATTTCAGAATGTGGAAACAGTACAATAACTGGGAATTCAGAGGACCAAGAAGGGGACGTAGGCATTTGGGTGAATCCCAAGAGGCCTGGACTTGGCTCCAGGGCCTACGGTTCCTGACCCTTGTATTACAGCCATTAGCAGATGGCATTATGGGGACATGGACCGGTGTGCGGAACGCCATCAACGGGGCGGGGGGGAAGGAAAAGTAAGGGAACAGGGGGCATGGAGGTGGGCGAAGGCAGAAACAGGGGAGGCTGGCCTATAAAGGGCTAGAAACGGAAGGCTAGTTTGTTGAAGAAACTGCCAGCTGAAAGTGGGCACGGTGTCGGCACATCTTCTCATGGCCAGCCGCACCCTGGCACTGCATCAGGAGATGAACTTCCTGGGTTTGTTTGTTTGTTTCTTTTTCACCCCTGGCCAAATCTCATTACTACGGCAAGGCTGCCCAGCTCCTGCAGTTCCATTTGCGTCTCTTGCGTCTCTCCACTTCCATTAAAGTCCCGGGGTTGAATTTCCGACGGCAGAAAGCGCAGAGAGGGGGCCGCTCTGGAGGAGTGGAGCCCAAAGCGACAGAGACCCTGGATCCCCCAAATGACTTTCTATTCCTGGCAGGCACCAAGTGCAAAAAATAAGACTGGGAAAGGCAGGTAGAGGGAGATCGGTTTCAAACCCAGGAAGGCCACCGGCTTTTTTTTTTTTTAAAGGAGAGCTGGGGGCACGCAGTGGGAGAGAAGCAGCAGGCACAGCTTAGCAATATGGGTGAGATTTTATTTGCGGTACCTATGGAAGTTACTCTCAGGCGCTTTCTGAATGGCAAATGGGGAAGTAAAGGACATGGGTGTGGGTTGTAAAGAAGAAGGCACTGTTCAGGCAGTTCCCAAATGCTTCGACCCACAACATGAGGCGGGCAGAATTTAGACTGCAATCTCCTTCTGGCACACGCCCCAGCCACTGGCACTACCCGGTGGGTGAGAGTTCCCATTTCCAATGGGTTCGGCAACGGCGCCATGCCGCGCGCCCAGCTTGCTCCCAAATCCGGCATGTAAAATAAAGGTTCTGAGGGGGGAGGGATGTGAGGACTGATGGGCAGGTTCAATTCTTATACAAGAAAAAAAGCTCCTTATTGGACCACACACACACACACACACCGTCCCATAATTTCTTGGGCCATCCTCTGAGCCACTCAGGTTGCGTCTGTTGGCGTTCTGAGGATAAACGGAGCAGACACTTCAAGGCGCAAAAAAAGAGAGGTCCTATCCACTCATCGTTGTAGAGAAATATCTACAACCAGCAACTCCTCCTTTAGGTCAAAGAGTTCGGCACCCACCCCTCGCATGGGCTCAATTCCATCTCTAAGAAACTCATCGGATTTACTCCTCCTAAACATGGAGGTTCCATTTGGCCATGATAGCAGACGGACACCGATAAATTCCCCCTCCGTCGCCACAACTATGGAGCAAATGAGAAAGTGACTGTTCTGAACTATGGCTAAGAGAAACTGTTCTGAACTTATGGCCGTACTTGGCTGGGGGATTTGGTAGCCCCAAAATGCAACCCTTCCAAACTTCCAATCAGCAGCACGTAGCCTTGGCCAGACTCCGCCAGGCGGGATCAGCAGAGGCCCAGAAAGGACCGACTCGCACTGGGGCACCAGAATCTCACCTCAACACAAAAGCAGCGACTCTCTTGGAGCCCAGACAGCAACTTCACCCAGGAGACTGGGCTGTTGTTCCCCCCTCCATTCCACCTCCGCTTCCTTCCCTAAAGAAGACCATCTGGGTTCCTTCTCCTGACATTTAAGTGGAACGCCGCTAACCCACCGACTAGGACATTTCTGAGTTTCCCAACGGATCCTCCTCAGGGTGCACTGAATGAACCATATGTTACAGGGAAGGACAGAAGGGTGGCATCTGGCAGTAACGCCATCCTGGGTGCATCCTAGAGTCCGAAATCAGAAGCTCAGAGAGGAGTCAGGCCTGACGGGAGATCACCACAGATCTCCTGCAGGACAAGGAGGTACGGGGGGGGGGGAGACCCAACACTGCCACCAGTCAGTGCTGACAAGATAGATCTAAATGGATCGACGGTCCTCTGTGCCACCAGGAAGCCCCCTTGAAACAGAGAGCCATGGTCAGTGGGTCGGGCAGTCCAGCTCGTTGTCCCCACTGACCCATGGCTCTCGCTGGGTGACCACAAGCCAGGGCCACTCCCACTCTATTCTGCCTTGCAGGGCTCCTCTGAGAGGAGAAGAGGAAGGGTCTTGATCCCGCAGGAGGAAAGGAGCACGTGAACACGGAGAGATGTGCTTGCTCAGCCTTTCCCCCTCTCGGACGAGGCCACGGATGGGAGAACGGGTCACCACCTAGGTGCTCGGCTGCCCTTCCCATCAGAACTGGCCAATGGAGGAAGACGCCGGGAACTGTGACCCAAAAGCATCTGGAAGGCCACCCTTTGCCCACCCCAGCTTAGATGCGCCGCCCTGAACTTCTGGAGAACCAAGCTACTCATTCCACCTCAAGAGGAAATGCACCACTCTTTGGAACCACTCTGGAACTTTATTTATTTATTTTATATATTAGATTTGTATCCCGCCCATCTAGACTACGTCTACTTTCAGGACGTATCTATCCGCTTATTCTCAAGAATAAAACCAAGCCTGGAGGTTTGGAACTCCTCATCGCTGACCTACACGGCTCATCCTGTGGACTACAGCCAGGATGCCTAATGGTGGGGACAGGCTTAAAACGGTGTTATGGCCTGTTATACAGAAAGACGCCTAAGGTCCTTGCTTTAAACCCCAGGGGAGTGCTACGACAAGACAAACTACAGATTTTTCAAGCACCGCTCGTGTGGAAAGAGCAAAGCAGACCTAACAAGGAAGATACAAGGGCGTGGGGACAATGGGATAAAAGCTCCTTAACATAGCAAGAAGTTCGGAAAGCGTC